AATCAGGTGATTATACACTAATGAAAACATACCTATGAATATTATATTCCATTTCTGCCACTAGAGCCTGTTAAATGTTACACACTGGACCTTCAACACATCGCTTCTTAATAGTGCTGCTCAGCCTTGCTTCCCGTTTTCCCTAGTGGCAACTCGCAGTATTGCAACCAACCAACATTATAAAAGACAGGACACCTCGTACTGCAAACAATTATGAGTCTTTCTATTATGGATTTATAATCCATGGAAGTTTTATATCTCTTGACTTTCCTCAAGCTGAAAAAGCAAAAAAAACTGTTACGTCGTCACAATGTAAAGTCTATGGACCGAGTGGGACCAGGGGAGAAACAGTACTGCGCTTATTCAGTGGTACACATAACCAGGAAATAAACGCTGGAAGCTGCCAGCTTTTTTGGCGAAAGCACCGGGTAAGCATTAGATTGAATAGGTGCCATTTTGGCGTTGGGTATCTTGTTCTTGTCATAGATCTGTGTTTTACCACGTGAGAGATAACTAGTTTAATGGTTTTAGGACGAAAGTAAAACAAGAAATGAAAACTTTATGTTCCTGCTTGTGGCCCCATTGCACCCGCTCTCCATCAAGAGAATCTTTGGAAATGTGAAATTCGCTTAAGTTCTGCAAAAGTTTTGTCTCAGTCTCGCTTGAACATTTGAACATATGAAGCCTGTGAGATGTGGTTGAAAGCTTCTTTGAGTTTAGATTATACTTTTTTTTTATGAACAAATGCTGGAGTACAAATAATCATTTATTGAATTAAATTTTGTATACTAACAAGCTTAAGCGATACTGTATTACACTTATTAAATCATAATATATGTAAATGTAGGCTTTCAACAAACTGTAGGAAATCAAAGTACTTGTGCAGATACTTGAGGATTTTTAGAGAAGTGTGAAAGATGGCCAACAAATAGCTGATTCAGCTTCATTTCAATGCTTGATTATTCGCAGGATTGTGTGAAAATAAGAGGTCTAACGTCTTTCACTGTATCTAAAAACAAACAGAATGACAGGAAATAGTGTAAGATGCACTGTATGAGTAGTTTTAATGTATTTGTTGTTGGCCAGAGGTGTAGCAGTAACAGTGGATGACAGACTGGACAATGTGAGCAGCAGATAACGGGCGGACTGCAGGCTTGCAGCTCCAGAGCAGGAACTTATCTCACTCCTCACACTCTGGTTTTATTTATACTCACACTTCCTCAGTCACATCTTCTGTCCATTCTCACAGTCAATATACTTACATGTGGCCACTTTGTACTTCTAGCTGGTACAGTTACAGTGTTTAATGTTGGGTGGTTGAGACTGAGAATGAACCAATTTTAAGTTGTGGTCAGAAAAAAACAGTGGTTTACTTTAGTTCAGATCATCCTTCCCTTGATCATCTCTCTGCACAGACACAAGCAGTATTTTTACTTATTGTAACTTTAAAGGTGCTCTATTATATATATGTATAGAAACACAACACTGTCCAAACATATTGTCAGTTTTGAACACATTTTGAGTAATCTGGCAAAACAAATTGTGGATGAATGCCATCCGCTACTGTTATGCGAATATTAGAAGTTAAGAGATAAGCAAAAGGTGGCGCCAATTCTTCAGTCGGAAAAACCAGAAGGAGAGGACACAACAAGATGGCGGACATTAAAATATGTTGATGGAAACACAGCTATTAGCATTTATTTGGAGTCCAATATTTACTCTTCTTTACCTCTGTTTTGGTCTCACCAACTCCTGAAAAACACGTCTCTTTAGATGCTAAATGCTAACTTTGTCTGTCTGCTGTTTGTTGCTGGGTAGGCAGAGTAAAGTGGGTTTGCTAGAGCTTCTATTCACTAAAGCAACTGCTGTTAGTGCCATGTTTTAGCCTCGAGTTTGGCATTATTGTTGGAGGACATTGTGTTGGAGCCAGTGGAGGTGACGTACTGTGAGTTGAGCTGCTATCATTGGCTGCGCAATTTGTCTGTAGCAGGAAACAATGGCGGCTCGCCTGGTCACACACAATCTCGTATTCCAGATAAACAGTAAATTAAACTAAAGCTGAAACTATTTAAGGAGATAAATAGTCAACACAGTCACAGAATCTGGATCATATCTGATCAGCACTGCCTAGTTTGACAGTTTGATCTGAGTTTGGTGCGTTGAGCTGGACGGACTCACTGAGAATGACCTGTCAATCACAAGGTAGCCACGCCCTAAATCATACCCTGCTTTATGGTCTATTTTACTGTAAATGGGACCATCAATTACTAAATGAACATCATGATGTCTGGAAGAAGACTGAAACTAGAGATTGAGACCATAACCTCATTAGGAAAAAGTTTACTGAGCTCTTAAATCAAGTCAGAAGTCGGCTCATTTCTCCATAAGACCCAGTTCTATCTGACTACTTTTTTGCAGCCCATAGAGCTGCCCCATGCTGTCTATTAGAAAGAATTCAGGTTTAAGACACTTTTGTGTTGGCTTCACTTCACAGACCCAGAAGCTCTGTCCATTATATATACTGTCAATGTCTGGAAACAATGCTGATGAGAGCTGTGAGACTGAACCAAAACATTAAAATTGTGGGTTGTAAAACTAAAACAAATGAGCTGAAATGCACTAAAAAGCTCCTCAGAGTTGAGGGGAACTGCAGAGTCGGTGATAATCCTCTGTGAGTTTGTAACTAAGAGCATCACCTTTCTTGCTTTTCAGCTGAACCTCCCACTAAAACCAAACCGGACGGGCTTTCAGAGAAACAACTGTGGAAAGCCCCAGTGGTGTTGCAAGATGTTACTCTAATATTCATTTATGCATTTATTATGACCTTACAAACTCTACTGACCACTGCCTCAATTATTTTGTTTTCATGCTTTGGTGAGCTGATTCAGGAGCCTGTTGCCCAGTTGGCATATATCCTTGGAATTTTCTGGCTGACAGGATGAACGATGGGGTAGATTAATAATCCTCTGCAGCTAAACACATGGACAGTGGCTGGATAACGTAGAGGACAGATGGTGAATTAGACCCCCCAAAAAAAAAAACAAACCTTCCTTGAGCAGGCTGTGAAGAGGATGCTGCCACTTCTCCATGCCGGCCTCCTGCCGTGTCACAACTGTCTACTGACTCCTGCTCTCAGATGATAAAAGCAGACAACACAGCACACAAGGCATCCCAAAATAGCTCTCTGTGAACTAAAAAAGAAATAAATTCCAATACGAGCGGAAATGAGATTGCTTAAACTGACTGTTAGTCATCGACCGAACCAGTTTTGAAGAAGTGATGAATAAGATGAGCTCAGTGGTAGCTTTGCATGGGAAAACATCAGGATGATGCATATCCTTTCCAAACTGCGAGCTGCAGATAGGACCTGGAACATTATGTTTTGCTGTTACATTAATCATGTTGAGACTTTTGAACCATTTCCCACCCAATCTAGAGAACAATTCACACAAGTGGATTTAGTGCTATCATCAAATAAATTCAATCAATCACAACTCGACTCAAACTGCAGAAGAAGAGTCAGACATTCTCTGATTCTCAGTGGAATCTTTTCTCCATCTGCTGTTGGCTAGCTTGCAATCCCATTTAGTTATTTTGGGGGTCCTTAAATGCAGTGGTTTTCAGGTCCTTGAGTGGGTTGTAGGGGGTCCCAAGCAAAGGAAAAGATTTTTAGAAGTTGGAACAAGGCAAGTAATATGGTTGAATTTTTGATTATTGATTGATTATTTTATTGATTTATTGATATTATTTATTGAAGACTTTTAAAAAATCTTTTTAACCTAAAAAAAAGTGACTCCTTAAGACAGTATCCTTTCACTCTGGGGATCTATGGTCTAATGTACATCTATTGTGGGGGACATACAATAATCTGCTTGGAACAATAATGTGTCTAGTATGTTTTTTTCTACATTAAAATCCTTAAAAATCCATCTCCTTCTATCTCTGAATATGCAAATGTTGTTCATTTCTAAAGTTTCCCTGCTGGACACAAGATGTCTCCTCCTTCACTGTAAAGTCCATTCTCAGTGGATGTGCACTGGTGGCTTCAAGTTTCTACATCACACTGTACAAGTTAATACTGGACCAGGACTGACTAACTATTTGTGATGTCACAAATCATGCTGGTGGGCCCTTAAAATCAGATGTTCAATGATCACAGAGAAACTTTCCACTTTCAGTAGATAAATGTTAAAACATCCTTCTAGAGTCAAACTCTGCACAGACAGCATTCAAACAGCACGCTGTAGGAACAGGAGAAACACTGATTTGGAGGGAGGCTTTAAGCCAACTATAAATAATTGAACTTAAAATTCAACACCAATTTCTGCAACATCTAGGCTGATTGGTGGCAGCCCGTATGTGCCGGCTGTGAGGTTTATGGGAACCAAACCAGCCACTGAAGGATCATTCAGCAGCTCCCTCAGACAAAAAGTACTCACAGAGCGCAGCAACAAATGTGCACATGGTTTAAGAGATCACAAACATGCAGGCATGATCAGCTGTTTGAATGCTGAGAGCCTGTAGAGATGTGTAAGCCACACGTATTGCTGCTATGATTCATAAATGAGCGTAAAATAAACCAAATGCACAGATTCAAGAGTGAAAAGTGCATCATTTAAGAAATTAAACGTCAGCCTAATGTCCCAATTATCTGTTTCTGAGCAGCCTGAGTTGATAATCGCACTTCTAAAGGCTTGTGTGTTAATGAGGCACAACGTTTCACTCTCAGCTCTATGTTAGAGACGGCACCTCTCAGGTTACAGCCTACAGTAGAGCAGGTCAGAGGGGCTGTGTGTAGAAATAGGCGGTAGCTGACACTGCAAGTTAAAGTGAAATCCAAGCAGGTGGTCCACAGGGACATTCCTCTGGACGAGCAACAGCACACAGCAGAGCAGACAGGAAACACATTCAAAACTGCATTTATAAATCCTTCCAAATAACAAAAGGGGTTTTAAATGTGTCATTTTAAACTCAGGTGGTGGAGCAGCTGCAGTACTCACCATGTTTGTGAAGCAGTTGTGTTCAGGGTCCACACAGAGAATAAGTCCGTCCTCAGAGGGTCAGTTTTCAGTGAACCATCTCAACCATGAGTGTGTGCGAAGACTCTTGGGGATTTACTCCTGTGTGTCTCACAAGCATATTGTCTGAGCTGTCACTGAGAGCCAGACTGTTTTACACCCTGGGCGGGGAAACCCACTTCCATGTCATTGACTGAGCTGCTCTCCTGCAGCCCCATTGGCTGAGACACCCCATCTCTACAGCTGCCCCACCCCACTATTTTTTTTTTCATGCCACTCTACTCCTCTCTTTCCCTTCCATCTTTCTGATAAAGCAGAAGTAGTCTCTATTGTCTATAGTGTCACTATTTTACTTTTCTAACTAACTGAGGGAATTTTTGTTGTCACGTACTATTTTGCTTCCTCTTTTCGTATAAATTCAACATATTTGTCCTCCATGTGTGGCAGATTTAAAAGACTGTTAGGGGGCGCAGGCAGAGGAGGGAAGTGTGTGTGTGTATGTGTGTGAGAGTGTGTGTGTGTGTGTGTGTGTGTGTGTGTGTGGGGTTTGTTTGAAGCAGAAATTCTTGTGACTTTACTCGTTGTTGTCTGGACAACACAGAAAGCGGCGTCTGGGAGAGCCGGGTTGGGGGTTGGGGAATGCAGGGGAGTGATGGGGCAGAGTGACCTTCCAGTCTGAGGGTGCAGGCCACAGTGGAGAAGGAAATCAGGAGCTTTGACACATTATTCTGTTTTTTCTTTGATTTTTCGCAGATGTCACTAAACACAGCAATACGAACACATAGAGTGTAACACACTAACAGAAAACCAATTCCACATTTCAAGTTCTGACTTCTTCTAGCTGGGTTATGAATTAATCCACAGATAGAACAACAAATACCACACTCTACAATGTGTGTGTGTGTGTGTGTGTGTGTGTGTGTGTCATTGCCTATTCGTGCTCCCTGCAGGTTGCTCACTTTTTGCAGCAACAACTGGTCTTAAAATACCTTCAGGATATAACAGTAGCTGTGGTTATGAGTTGTGAAGAGGGGCTTTTCACCATTCAATTCAAAGAAGAGGCTCATTCCTATTCATTGTTTAATAAAAATCTGAATTACAACAAAAGGACATCGACAAAATATAAAAGTGGAAAAGACAACAAACCAATTCCGCCGTCATTTGAGACACAGAGAGAGATGTGAGTTACAAAAGTTTCCAAGCAGTGAAAGAAGTTCACAAAACGTTGTTACCAAAAAGAGAAGACGTGTAGGAAGAGTGCCCCCGCTCTTTACTCTTTCGATGGTGCAATGAAAACTTTCTTATGTACTGTCTCAAATTCCACTGCAGTTTCAAATGAACTAAAAATGAAAGACACCACAGATCAGAGATGACGGTGAGGTCAAGGAAACAGTCCAGTGTCCTGTTTGGGGGGGGGAGGGCCAGACGTTTCTCAGTCTGTGGTGGTGCGGCGGTACCAGAAGCGGGCCCTGAAGTCGTCACTGCAGGTCATGAAGCCGGGATTGGTGGGTGAGTGGACGATGCAGCGGACGATGTTGTTGTGTCCCAGAGACAGCAGGTTTTTCCTCTCGGCCGTGCGCGAGTCCCAGCAGCACAGGCTGATGGTGCGCTCGTCCGGCAGCAGCACGTAGTCCTCCGTGTGGTTGAACACGCCCTGTGTACGGTGCATCTGGCGCCCGCTCAGCCCCGCACCTGTAACACACAGGAGGAACGTGTGACTGGAAGGGTTCACTGCACCACTGAGACCACACAATTGAAATCAAATCACAGACGACTGACCAGTTGCTGGTGGGTGGGAGGGGTGGATCAGTGGTTTTACAGCATAGTACAATACATAAAACAACACAGGCATACAGTACAGTAAACAGAAAGGAAGGAGCCCTAAATGCAGTGAACTACAAGTCCAATAACAGCTGTCACTGGTGTCCAACCTTCAGCTACTAAACCACAGTAGCAACAGCATTACAAGGCAAATTAAATATGACCATAAAAATACACAAAATGGGGTAAACCAGGAATGTTGATTACATAACGCGGCATCATCGTAGTAGTCATTATCACAAACCCCATCATCATATCATCACAACTACATTACACACTCAGACGAGCGAGAAGCCTTAAGACTCAAACTGTTTTCTCTGGCCTGCTTTCAGAAGAGAAACGACTGTGGGGATAAACGAGTGCTTGTACCCGTACCCTGTCTTAACAGGGGGAATAGGAACCTAGGACCAGAGGGCCAAATCAGTTTTATATATATATATATTCACAGAGTCTTCACTCTCTGATAAACAGCCTCATCCTGCATTAGAAAAGTTCAAACAACCAAAGAGCTGATAGAGCAATAGGCCAAGTGTCAGGGAGAACAAAACACTGAATTTGTCAAAAAAAAAAAAAAGAGCCTATGAAGTATGTGTAATAAAAAAAAACAGTACAGTCTATCAGTTGTTCTCTACTGTTATTGCTATGCAATAAATATAATATGAAATGTACATAAAATATGTCACTGAGTCAGTTCACTCAGTGATAGAAAAGGGCTCCCTTTTGTAAAAAGGCTGGGAACCGGTGCCCTAACCCAAAGGAACAATAAGTGTTAGTCAGTCTGTGCAGTGTGGATTCATTCAGAGCAGAAAAACATGTAAGGATTGCTTCACCTAGCAGTTTTTAGTGATGAAATGAACTACAACTGTCTAGTCTGACGTAGATTGACAAAATGACTCAAGTGTTGAAGAAATATCTGATGACAAAGTGCCAACAGAGAAACAAGATGTCATCTCTGTCACCTGGGCTCACTTTGGCTTCACACAAACACAATATAGACCAAAGTGAAACTACATGGTAACACTGTCAGTGGAATAGAGGAAACATGAGCCTACTGTTCCATCACCTGAAACACAACCGTCATACAACCAGACGCAGCAGTCTGTTACACAAACCATGTTGCTAGGAAGTTCAGACTCATCTGTTGTCAATCAGCACAACACAAACAATCAGTGGCAGGAGATAGTTTCAGTTTTCAGTCTCTGCCCTGCTTTGTGGTGTTTCTATTATTATTTATTATTACTTTTTGCATTTGTGCAGTAATAAAAATGATTCAAATCGTGAATAGCCCATGAGCTTATGATACTGTTTATTGCTTAAAAGCAGAAACAGAGGACTGTTATAAATAAAACAACCTCATGGTGCACACAGCGATCACCAGGTTAACAGCTCAGCCAACACCGTAGCATACTGCTGACTGCAGTGAAAGGCAGAGGCTGGAAGCGTATACAGCATTCATTGTTTCCTTGCTCTTTACTTAAGCACACTGAACTGAATAAAACAATGACAGTAAGGTTAAGTGCTTGCTTCTAACCCTTGAAAGGTATTTGTTGGTGTTCAACTCCATATTGGATGAACAGTGTAGGGTTATATCTAGAATCTTGAACCCAATTTAAACCCAATTTTAGCACAACGCAGCAGGACAATCCTAAATATTATCCTAAAGTACCGAGTTCTAAAGCCCAAATGTAGAGGGGGAAAATCAACTACTGATACGGCGGCAGATATAGTGAATATTTGAGCTGGCTCTGCAAATGTACTCAACTACAAATAAATTATATCGGTGCATACTGGGTGACATGTACGCCGATACAGACGCGTTTGTGGCCAATAATAACCGTCGGGCCGAACCAAGTACCAAGGCGTTTTTATGGACAGTCTTGACCCGCCAAGTCAGTCACCTGACCTCTTTCTAACCAATCCCGTGTTTCACTTGCTGAGAGACCATACTGAAGGTTAAAGGCCCCCCAAAACGTTGAAGAAGAAAGTAGCTGTCCACGCCTGGCAGAGCTTCACTAGGGACCTGTCTGCTGATGTTTAGGTCAATACAGACAGCAAACTATGTGCAACCAAATATCATTTACACTTCAGGATTAGGCTTTGTGACGGACCCTGCCTGGTGTACTAGTTGCTGTGTTTTCCTATGCGTCCTTGAAGGTACCAGAGGAACACTGTTGCTGTTGATTTAGAACACCTGGGCCTAGCGCTCCCATAGGATAAAGCCCAGCTAATAGGAGGTCTGCAGGCTTTTGCCTTTGTTTTGTTGTTTATTTAGCAGGGTACGATACCAGATATAGCTTAAAGCTCCCCTCAATCTGCACTCTTTACTATGACTTACACTAGGGCTGTGTGTATGGTTAGATTTGTGTCTTTATTACATGCGAGAAAATAAATGATCTGTGAGACTAAAAGAAGTTTTGAGAGAAAATATTTTCTCAGAGAACATAAAAAATATAAATTTGAAATTTTTAAAATTATTTCTGAGAAAAACAAATCTCTCTCAAAACGTTTTTCTTCTTCTCTCTCTCAAAACCTAAGTCTTTGCTCTCGATGCAATTTCTTGCTCTTGTGTCAGGATTTTGCTCTCACTGTGAAAATGATGTCAAGTTGGTAATCAATATTTAATGTTTAACCTTCAGAGATATTAGCTGAGCTGAACTTCACATTACTAACCAGTTAAACATCCTTTAATACCTCTGATCTGTTACTCTCTAACCTGTTAGGGCTACACAGTCATTCCTATGATGGGAATGATTTTGATTACCAACTTGCTCAGCTAGCTACCCATGGAGTTGTCATTTAACTCCCACATAAAGCAAACCTCTAGGACCGCCTTCTTTCATTTATGTAATATTACAAAAAATAGACACATCCTATCACAGACAGATGCAGAAAAACTAATCCATGCATTTGTTACTTCTAGGCTGGATTACTGCAACTCTTTATTATCAGATTGCCCCAATAAGTCCATTAAAACGCTCCAATTAATTCAGAACGCTGCAGCACGAGTACTGACAGGAACTAGAAAAAGAGATCACATCTCTCCTGTACTAGCTTCTCTGCATTGGCTCCCTGTAAAATGTAGAATAGAATTTAAAATCCTCCTCCTCACCTATAAAGCTCTTCATGGTCAGGCCCCTTCATATCTTAAAGAGCTCATAGTACCCTATTACCCCACTAGAACACTATGTTCTCTGAATGCTGGGCTACTTGTGGTTCCTATAGTCTCTAAAAGTAGAACAGGAGCCAGAGCCTTCAGTTACCAAGCTCCTCTCCTGTGGAACCAGCTTCCAGTTGTGGTTCAGGAGGCAGACACCCTCTCCACATTCAAGAGTAGGCTTAAGACATTCCTCTTTGATAAAGCTTATAGTTAGGGCTGGATCAGGTGAGTCCTGAACCATCCCTTAGTTATGCTGCTATAGGCCTAGACTATCGGGGGATTTCCCATGGTGCACTGAGCTCCTCTCTTCCTCTCTCTTTCTGCACACATTCATGTCCCATTAATGCATGTTACTAACTTCACTTCTTCCCCGGAGTTCTTGTGCTTTCTCGTCTCGCAGGTTCTCATGGATCCTGGTGGAGCCTCCTGCCATGGTCCTGCTTGACTGCCATTGCCAATACTGTTGTTGCTGTGCACCTGTCTGTCTGTCTGTCTGTCTGTCTCTCTCTCTTTCACCCCAACTGGTCGAGGCAGACGACCACCCACCTAGAGCCGGAGGATCTGTCCAGTTTCTGCCTTTTAACAGGCAGTTTTTCCTTGCCCTTGTCTCCAAGGTCTTGCTCATGGTGGTACTGTTGGGTCTCTGTAAATAATGTTTTAAAGAGTTCGGTCTAGACCTGCTCTATTTGAAAAGTGTCCTGAGATAACTTCTGTTATGAATTGGCGCTATACAAACAAAATTGAATTGAAAATTGAATTGAATTATTTTCACAGCGAGAGCAAAATCCTGACACGAGAGCAAGAAATTGCATCGAGAGCAAAGACTTAGGTTTTGAGACGTTTTTTTTGAGAGAAAATGTTTGCACACTGATAGCAAAAATATATATATTTGAGAGTTAAAAAAGTATTTTGAGAAAGGTTTTTTTTTCTCAGAAATAGTTTTAAAAATTTCTAATTATATTTTTTTATGTTCTATGAGAAAATACTTTCTCTCAAAACTTTTTTTAGTCTCAAATATTATTTTTTGCTATTGGTATGAAAACTTTTTCTCTCAAACATTTTTTTTCTCTCAGATCATTTATTTTCTCGCATGTAATGAAGACAAATCAAACTCCATAGTGTTTTGCCAAGAGTCTGGTGATATAATATATATCCCAATACAGGAGTTACAATTCAATATATTGTGATACTGTAAGAAAGGCGATATATTTATTTATTTTTATTATTTATTTAAATCAAATATTAGAAAAACTGTCCACAATATACATCAAATCTGAGAGCTCTCTGTTTACATTCACAACACTGCTAGCTAGCAGTTAGGGGTTCAATAACAACAATGGACAGTGTTTTTGAGAATCGATACAATATCACAAAACAAAATATCGCCATTCAATATATATTAGTTTCTTACACCCCTACGCATCTGCACTAACTGACACACTCCACATTTGTAGTTATTTCTTTAGTTTTTTACTTTATTACAATAAATACCATCCATTCCCATATTGGTCATGTTGTATTATAGGTATTAAAAGAGCTCCAATTCTGTACTGTTCAGCTGATGTGGATGTAGAAACCCTCAAATTAAAGCTGAGAGACAGCACTTTAACCCAGTCAGTCACTTTAAGTACAAACCCACGTGTTGGTTTACACATCTGTCAGCTTGTTAGCTGTCACTAACCTGAAACATTGCTAGCTACTGTCAACTATTGCTGTACAATGTTAAATAGGCAACTATGATCTACAAACCTAGTCTCTAATGCAACCTGATGAAATCTGGAGTAAACCATTTCCATGGTGAGGGATACCAACATTACCATTAGCTAAAGAGTGTTCTGCTTCTGCTTTCTTCTATTGTTGTAAAAATCGCCTAATCACCACCTGAGTTCAACACTCTTCTTCTTCTAAATGTTGACCAAAAAATGGAAACTCAGTAAAATAAAGAAATGCAAGCGCAGAACTTATGACACAATCATTAACCGAAGTGGTCAGACTTCATTGCAACAATTACTAGAAGAATAACCGCGGATGGTGCAACACTCTGCACGTTCCTGAGAATATGGTTTGTGTGATGATACAGCCATGTTGTGTTAGAAGGTTTGTAGACAAACGGAAACAAACAAGTCCCTGCAATCACTTTACATCAAAAACAACGTGTACAAAACCTTTTATTTGTTTGAAAATTCAAACAAATAAAAGGTTAAATTATGCTTTCAGCGTTTCCCACTTTTATTTCAAGAAACCCTTTACCAGGACATTTCTCGGTAGGCCTAGTACTGACATTTATTCCTCTTTTCCTAATAGTGCAGGGTTCAAGACTGTGTGTCTCAGTTTCAGGTAAGTGGTCAGCCTTTATGAGACACTGCGCATTAGCTCGCTTTTGTGACGTGCTTGGCTGTTCTAACGACAGACATTCACACTGTGGTCTCCGGCATATTACCACAGTTTACTGCAGTTACACACGTTGCGCCCATCCCTGTAGCTGCCAGTACGTCCTCAAAGGACACTAATTGGTCTGGTACCACTGTAGTTTGGCCACAAGATTAAAGCCTGGAAAGATGGATTCTTGTGTGACCTTGCGAGTTCGGCTGCCTCACAAAGTTAACTTTGTTAAAGTTGCTATCTGCAGACAAAAGACTCTTTAAACTCAACTTGACTCCATTCACTCAAATTAATTTGTTGTTCTGCGTCCACCACCTTATTTGTGATTATTCATGTCTCACCATACTTTATAATTACCATTTAGGTATGCTCTGTGTTTATGCTTCACTTCACTAGATGCTCATGATGTGTTAGTTTTCAGATGACTTATCTATACGATGCATCCCTTTTTGTACTTCCTTTTCCGGCTATAATAATTTCCCTATATTGGTTTCTTATCTCATCTGAAATTCTGTTTTAGAAACAACACCACAAATGTTTTTCTTTTTAAAAGACAGGGGTAGTCCACCGGAGGAAAGTAACAATTGCATTATCAGCTAATGCACCCTGACTACTCCCAGTCAAAGGTTGTCTCCTTCACACTTTTTGTAACATAGATCCCTCATGATCTATATACAGTGACTGATACACTGCACTTTGTCCTTTACAATTCGCACCTCCCAACTGTTCTATGTTTAAATATATTTATATTCTACTCTACCATGTATGTACTATATTACTCAATTATGTGATGCTGATAAAGAGAAGACGCGTGCAGGCACATCTGCAGACAGCCAGTCAGCGTGGCTGCTGGGGAACGATGTTAGCACTCCCCCTTGTGAGTTTGGGGAAGGTGGTCAGTTGGTTACTATAGTACCATAACCCTAATGTATCCTGCTGTAAACTTTTACTTTTCTAAAATGTTATGTTACGATGTTTCTTAAGCCGTTTCTCCTAAATGACAACAAACTGAATCTGAAACTTAGTGCTGGCTAGTGTTAAATATATATTATGATATAATGTACAGAATAATGCAGTTGAATGATCTCTTCTGACCATGTCTGAGTCATGTTCTGAAATCTACAGTACAACCAGGTGCATTTTTCTGTTATCTAAAACAACACGATACAAGCTAAGATTACCATATGTATTAGATTGTGATGTACATTGGAGAAACAATAATTAGTCCATTAATCAGTTAGTTGTCAACTATTAAATGAATTTGCATCTATTTTAATAATCAGTTAATTATTTTGGGTGGTCCATATTCTCTGATTTCAGCTTCTCAAATGTGAGTATTTTCTGCTTTCTATAGTCCTTTATGTAAACTGAATATCTTTGGGTTGTGGACAAAACAAGACATTAGAGGACGTCACTTTGGGCTCTGGGAAACTGACCAACATTTTCTGACATTTTATGGAGCAAACAACTAATGGATTAATCTAGAAGATGATCAAGAGATTAATCGATAATGAAAATAATCATTAGTTGCACCCCTAATGTGCACTAATGGAATTATACACAACATTCTAAGTTTTGATATTGCCATTATATGGTCTTCAGCCGCCTGCGCTGTAAATATCTATATCTATATATTGTACGCTCGCTTTCAGTTCTATAGGAGGTGTGTTAAGTTGCTGATGAAAACCCAACACCTCTTGATTCTGCTGCATCATAATAAAAGGTTTTAAATAACTTTTACTGTGAAGAACTTAAAGGAAATGAAATGTGTTTATCGCCAAATTAGCTGTTCTTCAATAAACACAAAGTGCAGGGGGAAAGGTGGTGTGTTTATTTGTGCTTTAGAGCGTAACCGTTGTGAAACAATCAGATAGTGATGTGTTATTTATCTGATTCACTGCTTTGTTCTCGCTAACTGCAGTTCCTCTCTTTTAATTCAATCTTGAGCTCCCTCGACCGCCGCTGCTCTCTCTGCCTGTTAAGACGCACGTTCAAGCAGGAAGCCCCGATGTAATAGCGATGCAAATCCCTGCTGCGCTGGGCTGGTGTGCAGAGTCAAGCCAAGTCAGCACATGTGTAAAACGCTATAACTGACCCAGCATGCAACTGTAAATCATTTTATAAAAGGGGTTCGGTCTAGACCTGCTCTACTTGAAAAGTGCCCTGAAGTAACTTTTGTCATGAATTGGCGCTATACAAATAAAGCTGAATTGAATTGAATGTGAGATATAAATCAGTTCTAACATATAACACTCCTCTTTAACCCCGCTACGAACATGCACAGTCACGCCCTCATTACCTGTGTACTTGACCAGTGTCCGGCCTGTAGAGATCTCCCACAGTTTGACCACGGAGTCTTTGCCACTGGACAGGATGTACTTGGAGTTCTTGGAGAAGATGGCGGAGCAGACCTCGGCTCCGTCGTGGGCCTTGTCGAAGGTGGTCACGCAGCGGTTAGAGACGCCGTCCCACAGCTTGATGCTGCCGTCCTTGCTGCAGCTGACGTAGCTGTTGGCGGTGGGGTTGTAGCTGACGCCGCTGATGGTGTCTGTGTGCTGGTCCAGCGGGTTGCAGGACACGAAGCACTGGAAGGTGTTGACGTCGTAGAGGCGGAGCGTAGGGTGCTGCGTTCCTACCAGTAGGAAGTCGCCTGACGGGTGGAAGGAGATTGAGCGCAGCATTTCTGCCTCCTGTAGGGAAAAAGATGAAGAGAGGATTGGTCAGAATAGTTTTAGAAAATGTAAATGCTGCAATTTTTTTTCAGCCTTGTTCACGTTAGCTTAGCCATTTCTACATAACTTGGCATCTCCACTTTAACAGAATGACAGTGTGTGAAATTGTGTAGACTCAGACCTGTATATATTTAAATGCTCTTTTTGCAGAGGGCTTAGAGTAGTCAAAGAGTTTGAGGGTGTAATCTCTTGAGCCGGAAGCTAAAATCTGTTCAGTCGGATGGAAGGCGAGGCAGGTGACTTCGTCTACGTGGTCATACAGCGTTCGAATCACGGGGTGATTCTCCATGTTTTGCTGCGCTGTCTCATTCATCATCACCTGAAATGTGCAGAACACACAAAAAGCATTAAACACAAGCCTGCTGGATCAACAAAATGCAGTGTACTCTGGTGTCAGATCTGCCCCACCTCAATAGGCATGGCACTCTTGGCCAGCATGCGTTCCGTATCCAGGATCTTGATGGAAGCGTCAGCAGAGCCTGTGGCGATCAGCTGGCCGTCACGACTGTACGAAGCCACACGACACGGACCCTTATGGGATGTCACGTAGCAGGTCTCATACTCTGATGCCTCTGGAGACATGGTCTGGACATCAGCATCAAATTCCAGATCAATACCCACACCGGGTGCCACTGTATCTGAGCGGCCGATGGCATACTGCACAGCACTGTCGTCATTCTCCATCCCTGGAAACGGTTGCCGGTTGAATAATTAGTGCTGTTGAAGCCTCACACATAGCTCACACATGCAGACATGGGGAAACGGCTCTTACCTATCTTTGCCAGCTGCATCAGCTGCTCAGAGGGGGACACCACAGTCTGTGGTTTCACCTCGTTGATGAGACTGTTGGCGATGTTGGTGTATCCATCATAGAGCAGCTGGCTTATGATGAGTTTGTAGAGGTGCTGTCGGTCTTTCAGAGTTGGTTTAGGACGATACATGACGGGTCAGGTTGACCAGGAACGTTAGAGACAACTTAACTGGCTGTAACAAAGGACAGGGTCAACTATTAATGTTGTTACTACGTTAGCTGCTAGGTTATCTCCGTTAACGACGGTGTTATCTAATGCAGTGCTGTAGCAAACAGCCAGTCTGCTGCATGTGACAGTTCTAACCCCGCTGTGTGAAGCAACAGCTAGTTTGCTACCATACCTAACATACGTTTCCCACACACACACACACACACACCCACACACACACACCGTTAGCTGGGACTACACTAACATTATGGCTACAAAGAATGAATGGAACTTGGGCTTAGCAGTGCTGCTAATAACGTTAGCTTTGTGGCTACAGTGAGCTAAGAAAGAGCAAAAACAACAGCAGTTTAAGCGCGGATAAAAGCCCGAACTGAGTGACCGTCTCTAATATGCAACAACAGCATTATGTGCCATTTAAGGACACGGGTTGAATATCATTTTTTGCTATTAATCTTAAAATATCTAACCCTCTACAAACTTCCAATGGCGCTCCTAGACCCAAACGTGCGTTACGCTGTACGTATTGCGTGCTACGTCACGGCACTGAAAGCCTGTACTGAGGTTGCCTTCAAGGTAAACAGAATTTCCACATTTAAAGCAGTCAATGATTTTAAAGTTAATAATTAAACATCGGTGTAGTAGCGTACTTCCAACGTGAATGGGACAGGCGGAGTAGTGATGCGTATAACACTCTAAGCTGTAAAATGTGACGTTTAGGGGGAGAAAAGGAAGCGCTATGACTAAATTAAGAAATTATTCTAATAATTGCCTTAAACACAAAGAGATTTGTCCTCTTTGTTTTACTTTGTCACAAATTAACTAAGCAAAACGCAAAATAAATATTCCGCTGTTACAATGGTATTTTTGTCAAGATGGTGCATTAAGGTACGTGAATGCATCATGCCCTCTAGCGCATGCCAAAACAATCAAAAGTCCAAACATATAGTCCCTTTCTTTCTTTCTGTAAAACCAATAGCCATAATTAACTTAACCAATAATTAGTGCTGAAATAATTAACCAACTGAAATAAAAATAATGGATTGATTTATGATTTATAACTGATTTATAGTTTGGGGATGATTTTTATTTGAACAAAAATACCAAATTTGCTGGTTCTCTCTGATATCATTTGAAAATGAAGAACGTTGGCTTTTGGAGTGTTGCTCAGGCAACAACAAGCAATATGAAATTAGGGATATTGTGATGGGAATTTCTCTCTTGTTTCTAACATTTTTAATAGACTAAACTAATCTCAAACAAAAATCAACAGATTTATAGCTAATATAAAATGACTGTTATGCGGCTTTGAATGCTATGTATGTATAATGTGTTTCACTAACCCCAAATTAATCAACATAAATCATTTTCTTTTGTATGTGTATAAACCTTATTTTACCTCAGATAGGCTTGCACTCATGACCCAGCAGAGGGTGCACAAGTACAGCATCTCAAAGACATAAGGAATGAAAAGCTGTATGCTTCTGCCCGGGTTTTGATCTCAGTTTTGTTGCTACAATAGCAGTCTTGGCTTTGCAGTCGTATGCTTTAAAATGCCTCTTGCTGAGCTACATACTGAACACAGCAAGTAAGACTGTGTTAATGTACAACAGAGCCAATAATTGTGGTTTACAGTTTAACCCTGTCAGATATACGCACTGTGTTTGGCAGCTGGTGGTAGGAGTGTTATTGGTAGTGATAATGAAGACAAAGGTAGGGCATGAGACTGCTATTCTTTAGCTACTGAAAAGGCATAAGTAAGTGGATATAGGCCTCCAGCAATTCAGCACCCACCCACACACAGTCTCTCAGTTGCCACCTCCTGCAATGTGGCTCATCAGTTCAAATGCTGGCCAAAAAAACAGAAATGTAGTGTAAAACATGCAGATGGAAGCTTAGCCTGTCAGAAATAGGCCTATTCAAATGATACATCTGTTATTTGTAATTTCGTGTGCAAAAGTGCAGCAAGGGACCCACTCAAACCCATTAAAACACAAATAAAGTAAGCTGGATATTTCCCTCGGGTACCTTCCATCTAGGGCCATAACTTGAGAGAGCTTGCCTGTTGCAGTGTGCAGAGGCAGGCAACTTCACAGTCCTCACAAAATTAGATAACAGGCGAGGAACTATTTATCACAAGGGATTGAAGTTGTAGCTCTTGCATAATGACATTAGCTTTTTGAGCAATGTCACCACTGGGATCATTTCAGCATTTGTGGTATGACTACATGTGTTGCAACAAAACAACTACTTTTACTTTTACCAGTGCAGAGGTTCAGCAACGGGGAGACCAGGAGGAATAGACACATTTTATTGGTCTCTGGTCACTGCTGACCATCAGCTGTAAAACCTGACTCTTCCTTGTATCCTAGTAACCTGAGTAACACAGCCAAAATATCTAGAGTATCAACAACATTAAGCGCCTGCTGACTGTTTTGGATAAGACATCTGTATAAATCCATATAGACTATACACATCCTGCCTTTTAAAAACATTTGATCTGAGTCAGTCTTTAAAAGCATCCCTGAAACTCTGCTTCCACCCTGCAGGACTGTGAGCTCTATAAGGGCGGTAGAAAACATGCGTGGTAGGTGGTGTCTTGTTACCATGTCAACACAAAGCATGCTCTCAGTGGACCAGCCTGCAGTTGCCTTGGAGACCAGTTAGAGTCTGAAGCAGTGAAATGATATGAAAACTATTTGTTTTCTTTCAGCAGATGTCATCTGATAATTGCACGGTCGATCCCACACAATGACATACTGTTCAAAAAATCTGAGCTTTGAAAACATCACTTTTATCAGAGGCATTGAGAGTAGAAATACTTTTTTCAATCTGGTTTTTAAATAGTTTTGTATTAACGCAGCAGTAGGTAACATTTATAAAAAATTACTTTTTGTCATAACAATCAGAACCAAGAAAGATATAAAGACACTTTGGGAATGAGACTCAACAATCAGCTATCTCTCTCGGCTCTGATTGGTTGTTTTCGTTCAGGCCCGGTGGATTCCTGCAAATGCCATTAAGAACACTAGGAGGAGCCAGAGGAACCTGATTATTTCACAGATTATCTGTCTCATGTTCTACTGTCAGGATATAGTGAAAGAAATAGTTTTTTATAAAAATTAACAATTGGCCGTTTGTAAACCTACAGAGAATTATCATCGGACTCTGCAGTTACTCAGCTCTATGATGCTTTTTGGTTTTAACACCTGCAACTTTACTATTTTAGTTCAGTCTCATTGCTTTCATCAGCAGCGTTTTCAGCAGCAGCAGGCAGAGCTGGTGGAAACCAAAAGAGAGCTAAAAGGAAAAATTCTGATTTAGAAATTCATCAGGTGGCCACATTTATACTTCAAACGAATGCAAATGTTACTTTGTATCTTGCACAGAACAAAGGAGGACTGGAGCACACACTGATTAATTCACAGTCTTTAATTTTGCAGACAGACTAAGGTTTCATGTATGGCGATTCTTTTGACTGATTTTGCGATATTCACAATTTTTGTGGGAATGATCATTTTTTAATCACAAATGTAATTTTCATTGAAAAAACTATTCAAATCATGATGATCTATTTAGGTCTGCACTAAACAAACATGTTTTCTGACATCTAGAGAACAAGATTTGTAGGTCAGGGCACATTTTAGCTTCATCAATAAATTACAGCTTCTGTGATTTGCACATTGCACTTTTTGATAATATTTTGATTAATTGTGCAGCCCTAGTTTCAGGGCTAAAATGGACAAAGACATGAGACAAAAAAAAATATTGTCAACTTGTTTAATTTGTTTTTAATGCCATCATGGACTGTAAAAAGTAGCAATAGTAAGTCCAGTCACAGGTCAAACAAATAAAGTGGTTGTGTATTAGCTGTATAACTCTCAGGCCAGATTTCAGGGGGCAGGTGGTCCGGGAGCCAAGAATGGAGCTGCGTGTGTATAGAAAGGAAGGGGAAATCCCAGGGCATCACGTGGAACGCTGGAAAAGGTCTTTGGAGTAGAGGAAAATACATGGACTGGGAGAAGTCAAAACACGGCTGGAAAGAAGAGAGAAGCAAATGATTACTTTACATGGTACAATTAAAGAAAATTTGATTTGGTTTAACTGTACCTTTTGAGAGGAAGTGATCACATGTTTGTTTACTGGTTTACGTTCTTCAGGACTTTTCAGATTCCTGAGTGAAACAGAGCAATATAATCAGTATTCTGTGTCTTAAATCCACACTTGCTGGTTAAAACTAGCAACAATAAATGCAGCAAAGAAGTCTCAGTACAAATGAGACATTGTGATTTAAAAAAAGGGCTTCTGTGTAAGCACGTGCAGTGTGAACTGGGGTACCCCTGCAAAATGATACATATTGTAATGGGGGCTGTGGTTGGAGGTGGGAAATTCACTACAGCCACTCACAACTCATCCATTTGTTCTCTGCCTGAGAGAGTGAGAACAGTGCACGTGCAGCCAAGCAGCCACATCAACATCAGTTTTGCTGCACCCTTGTATATGTGGGTGTATGAAATCCAGTGTGTGGGAGGAAGTAGGTAGGTGGGGGAGCGAGTATATAAGTGAGCCAGAAGTCAGGTACTGCCTCAAAATGTTGATGCCAAAGTCAGTCAGTCAGTCAGCTAACGTGACTGTTGAAGGTAGGCTTGTCTCTGTCATTGCACTTCCTCTGCCAGGCGGTTGCTTTCACTTCTGCACAACACAATATTAGCCTTAAATCCTTCCATCTGTGCTCAGGGCCTCTCCGCTCTTTCACTCCTGCTGATCATTCTGTGTAATCTATGTTTTCAACTTGTCCTCCGGAAGTCTTTGTTTGACAGCCACACACCCACCCAGCCAGCCCTTCTCCTTCCCTCACTCTCCTCCTCTCTGCCTCGCCACTTTCATAGTGCATCTTTTCTCTCATTTGCATTTGTTCCGCTTCCTCGTGACAAGAAACAGTTCACGTCAAAGAGCTGTGCGAGAAAATCAGGTTGGAGAGGGACAAACGGCCTGGATGTCAGAGCAGATTGAAAGGAGCAGGTTCCCTGAGAATGATGCTGTTAGTAGAGGACTTTCCTAGCTGGATAATTGTTGCTGATTGAACTGCAAAGCAAGAAGGTAAGAGACTTCTGTTGGGTTTTTTTAAACTGTTGCGCCTGAGTTTCGGCCTAGTAGCGGCATGTCCTGGCTTCTTGTAGTGATATTCTTACCTACACTGTGTTATGGCATCACCATCAGATATTTCCTCTTTTCAAACGTTAATTTTATGAAGTCAGAACAATAGTTGGAAATTAGAAAAATAGAGAGCAGATAAGATGAAAGAAAACATTTTTTTCATTATGACACATGAAATCTAGAAAGTCGTCCTTTTAATTTACTTTTTTTATGCTACCCATTTATGCTGATGCTTGTTCTCACTACAAGCAGAAGCTGACCTCTTTTTAATCTCATTCTACCCCGGACATACTTGTGTGCAATTTTAAACTGACTACAAGTGCTTGTAGAAAAACAAAACGTGTGTGTATGACATATTTACATAGCAGTAAGGAAGTGAAAGCAAAGTACAGCAATGGTGGATTTAAGTCCCAGAGTAAATAAAGTTTTAAAATTAAAATACGCTCTTCATTTTAACCCAGAACTCACTTGAACATGAACAGAAAGAAACTTTCCTCAGCTCACGGCACCACAAAAAGTATCTGACGTGGGCGTGCTCATGTTGTACAACTAACAAAGAGTGTGCTCCATGCCAACTGTACCTCTGTGGGAGAATTATGCAAAATCACAATACATGCAGCAGAGCATCACAGCAACAGGAAATGAAATTTGCTTGACCTAATATGAAACTATTCATCTTTTCATGTAGGTGGCTTTGCGCTTTGATTAGATTATCATACAAAAATGACAGTCTGTCAGGAGACAAAGCCGCCACATGCTACTGTGAACATCAAGGGTACGCCATTTAATTGGTGTAGACTGGTGACAGAGGCAACAGCTAATGTCAGCAGACACGTTTCATTTGGGGAGATAAAAGCCTCTGCTGTACTGTATGAGTATCTGATCTCACTCCCTCACCCCTCTCCTGATGTGAGTCACTCCCCTACGTCACCCCCTACATCTCTTTACTATATATATACATTTCTCCATGTTTTTGTCTCATATGTGTCCACTGCCCGCATGCATATATACATATCTTAAGAGCTGATTCCTGCATCACATGCTCTTGAAATTAAACAGCAGAGATTTCAATTCCTCTACTTTCTCTGCGTGCTGTAACCATGGGTATTATTGCTCATCACCAAAATAATATCACTGAGCTAGATATAGATGTGCTTTTATGTTGTTGTTTTAGAATTGTGGACATCATCTCCCTGCATTTTATAACCGTGCAAAAGCCAAAAAGGATTCATTGTTTTATTAGCCATCTGTCCTAAAGGGTACTGCATATCTGTCATCATTTACTGCTTTATTCATTGCTATGCTCCTTTTTCTGTTCCACTGGCACAATAAAAATTCTAGAGGAATGAGCTCTCATTTTAGACCCCAAAACATCCAAGCTCAAATAGACAGATCTGCCCCGTTTAATCTGAGGCAAAGCAGAGGTCTAATGCAAACTGTTCTTATCTTACAGGTAATTAGAGTCCTGGCACTGGTACATCACGACAGCAGCAGTGTTACCATGGAGACTGGCAAGCCAGGATTGGCGAGTGCTCCAGTGCACATCAACTCCGTTGCAGCGCAGACAGAGAAAAGGATGGACATCCAGGCCCCGCTGACGGCTGTTTACATCCACACAGTGCCTGCTCTACCAGCGCAGCCTTACCCACATCCTCCTCCAGCTGCCCGGGAGCCAGCCACACTCCATCTGGCCATGCCGCCGCTTTACTCCAAGGAGACGCTTCCTTTCCTGACACTCCATATTGCTGGTGGGCTGCAGTCTCAGCCAGGATTGAGTCTGGCAGCTGCTTCTCCTGCAGCCAGACCCAAGTCAGCAGGAAAGCACGTGTGTCCTCACTGTGGACGAGACTGCATGAAGCCCAGTGTGCTGGAGAAGCATCTCCGCTGCCACACCGGGGAGCGGCCCTACCCCTGCACTACTTGTGGAATTTCTTTCAAGACTCAGAGCAACCTCTACAAACATAAGCGTACTCAGGCTCATGCCCGCCTCTCGTCTGAGTCAGATCAGAGCAGCCTGGGCAGCCTAGACAGCATGTCCAGCTCCAGAGAGACTTGTACCTCCAGTTTGTCTCTGGACGAGTCAGGCAGCATGGAAAAGGATGCCACTTTACCTGTTGCTGAGATCACCTGTCCAGTCAGCACTGTTAAGGTCTACTCTGTAAATATGCATGGTTCTGTCAGGGAACAGAATGAGCTGACGCCTGCAGATCATAAGGCCAAAGAACCAAATGAAAGTGCAAAGGTCACAACAGCAGGTGAAAAACAGAGGATGGAAAATGAAAAACCTACCCTGAGTCGACATCTTCCCCTTCAGAGACAAGAAGCCACCCTGTTCTCCAAGCAGTGGGAGAGCTCTGTATCCAGAGGAAAATCGCAGAGCCATGAGAGCACCGACTCAGGCTTCAGCGAGAGCAGTGACCACTACCCAAGCCCCGGCAGCATTTTACATGATCACAGTATGGATTCCCTCACTGAATCCACCAAGGAGCATCTTTTGGAAACCACCAACAAACAAGAACCAAGCCAAGGTGGACAGGAACAAAAAGACACTGCAAGGGAGCAGGAGCAAAAGACACTAGAGGAGCGTATATCTAAGCTGATTTCAGAGAATACAGCTGTTGTTGAGGACAAACAGCTGGAAAATGTAAGGCCACGGAAGACAGTTCTGTCAAAGCAGGGTAGTATTGACCTTCCCATGCCATACACATACAAGGATTCCTTTCACTTTGACATGAGGATTAATAAGAGTCCGAATGTTGGGTTACAAAGAAACAGGAACCCCGGCTTTTACAGCTCTGTGCCCACTCAGCACTCCACCACCACGGAGCATGCCCCCTTAACCCGCAGCAACTCCCTCCCTTTCAGCGTTACCCTCCTACAGCCTGAGAGGAGCACCCCAACCTCCTCTTATCAGAGTGATTATGTAACACTTGCCCGGAGGGGAAGCTCTGGGCAGATCAATCCAACAGGTTTTGCGATCAAGCCTATGAACCAGCAGTCATCCACCCACCGCCCACTGGTCCGGCAGTCAGCCGTAGACTGCAACCACGCAACAGACGGTCTCTACATGAATTCATCTGTGGAGGAGGCGTGCACCAGCAGTCTTAGCTGCGATGGGGACGGCGGTGACATTTGTGGAGAGCCAAGCAACAGAAAGTTCCGGAGGAAGAAAGCACAGAAGTTTTCCTACAACAAGTGGTACGTGTATGGGGGAGGAACTTTTAAGAAGCTCTACAATGCTGAGAAAGGGGGGGATGACAGTGTTATCAAAGGCAGGAAATGTTCAACGAACCCAGAGCCTGAGGTTGTTCAGGGCTTACAAAAAAGGTTGTCAGAGGTTCATAAGGAGACAGTGGCAACAGCAGGCTCAGCAATAAACTTCACAAGCAGCAGTGCAATAGCGTGTCATCCGGACTGCCCTCCTGCCAAACTATCCCTTGTCTCTGCTGTGGATTTTAATCTAAAAACCAGCCAGCTTCATACATCATGCAGCTCTCTCAAGAGCCCACTACGGAGAAATCTGTCTTTGTCAGTACTGCCATTACCTTTAATTGGATCACTGGTTAGCCACAAAACAGACAGCATGAGCAGAGCAGAGGATGGGAGATTGATTAATGAAGACAAACATACTGACTCCAGCTCGCAGCTCTGTGGAGCCCATATTCCCTCTGACAGGAAAAAGCCAAAAACTGATGACAAAATAATTTGCCCTCTAGAGATGGAGACCGACACAAACACACTGACTCATCCCCCTCCTTCTGTCACTGGCAGTGCACCTCAGCAGGATACAAATCTCAGTATGATCAACCTTCAAAATAATCTAAAACATACACAGCTCAAAGGAGCTATTTTCCCACCACGCATAATCGATGCAAATACATCCTCTGTTAGCACCTCACCAGCCACTTCCACCCCCTCTGCTGCCAAGACCAGCTTCCTGCCCAAATACCAGCTCAAGTTACCTAATGCTGCTGAATCTGATTCAAATCCTTCACCGCATGTTGTGGATAAACCGGCAGAAAGTGATGGCAGTAATTTCACCTCTGCTCTGTCATTTTCTCACACTGAGCAAACCCCACTCTCAGTCACAGCTTCTGAAAAGAAATGTAGTGATCCTACCATGTCACAGTTGATGCAGAGTTGTGATATCAAAAAGACAAATGTTTTCAGCTCCACACAAGGCCAGCTCCTCTTGCCTTGCACAGCCACTACCCTTTGTCAGACTCAAACATCAAGTCTCAATAAAAATGTGTCATCTAGCCTAGCTGTAGTGCACAGGCAATTTGCAGCTACCACAATAACCACAACCTGCCTACAAGATTATCATGGAGGATTATGCTGCACTTCAATACAGCCCTCACAGTCTGCAGGAGGCTTAGCACCTATGCAGTTACCCAGACCTGTTGCACCTGTGGTTGCGAATTTCCCTGCTACATCTAACATAACCACAGTAAACAATCAAACCTCTTCCACCGTCATCACAGCTGTCTCACAAGGTCAACCTAACCATAACCCTCCTCCGTCACACACACAACTCTCGCCAGCATCCGACCAGTTGAGCCCTCTAAACCGGGCACGTACCAGCTCTAACACCCCAGTTGTACCTTGTCACATTGTACCGTTTGACCAGATGCAGCCAGCTGCTCAGAATGTGTTTCATGTTCACACAGCAGACCTCCAGATCTGCCTCCAGATCATATCTGATGAGCAGCTGGCTCTCATTGAACCCCAGATTGAGAGGCAAGCTGGCAATACCCTCTCACAGAGACGTGATACGGAAGCAGTGGCCCTGGGAGGGATCCAGAATAAAGCTCAAAGCTCCATCACCATGGAAAGCAGCAGTGAGGGAAGGGACCATCAACAGCCAGGACATCAAAAGGAGTTGGACCAAAGTGAGACTTTGGAGAGAATTAAACCTTCAATGTCTGTACAGTTTGGGAAGGCAGAGCCAAATCTCCACTCAACTGAACATATAATTTCCACACAGGCTACAGTATCCAATGAATCAGAATCTAAGCCTTCTGAAGCACCAGACTCGTCACAACGCCCACACAAATACAGTCATGTAAACATGGACACAGAGACTCAGAGGGTTACAGCCAATGTTATGTCAACTGCTGCGTCACGCAAAGGTGTAAGGTCAGGAAGGGGCCAAACTTCAGAGGAGGAACATACACTTTCTCTGAACCATTGTGCTGAGGAGCAACCTTTGCCAGACAGGAGGGTCAGCCAAGGTGGACTGGTCTCTCAAACACTCTCTGGCCAACACAAGCTCAGCATGACCTCTTTCTCTCCCACTACACTAAATCAGAATAGCAAGAGAAGAGAAATACTGGGAAATGAAAGCCAACACAAACTTAAAAATCAAGGGGCCACTTGTAATGTAGGCACGATGAAAGCCAAGGGTGAAGCGTCTGCATACAAAAGCAGTAAGTTAGAAAGTGGAGAAACCCACCCCCCTCTACTGGTTGGGCTTGGTCAGGCCTCCGGTGCTGCATGTCCTGATGAACTCTCTGGCTCAGTTTCTTCATTTTCCATCAATAAATGCAAAGCTCCGAGACAGTTGGACCCACAGGCATCCATTTACTGCAGCAGTCCAGTGGAATCCACATTGTCAGAGGCTCTGAATTCATCCAAACATGCAAACATGAGATGTGACAGGGTGAGCCCTATGGACAATTCTGCCCCTACACAGGAAATGACTCTGAGTGAATCACAGAACGTAATCAGCTCATCCCACTCAGAAAAACAACTGGGTCAGTTTACTTCACTGTCTTCTAACATCCAGGTGGAAAGACCTAAAGACATCCCAGCTGTGCTTACAAGTATTCAGAGTCCTGCTGCAGGTATATATGACTATTTAAATTATATTAAGCATTCACACTGATCCCACGGATCTGAGGAATATACAGTGTAGGGTCTGTACTCCAGCACATTGGATTTAAAATGAAACTGACTATGAGGGCAAATAGCTGACTGTAAGGGTGTTTGATAGTGTTCACATACATTTCAGCTAGTGTTTATATACATTCTCCCAATTTTGCGGTATGTAGCAATGACCTTAAACAGCAAAAACAACACACAAACAAAATAAAACGGAATTACCATGGCCCCAGGCCACCAAGGACCACTAAAGCCCCAGGTTCACTGTATACGGTTGGTGGTAATTTGGGCCTTTAATCAGGTCCTCTGTTATTACAAAACCTTGAGAATCTTGAGTGCTCGATGTCAAAACTAGTTTAATATCTTCGTTAAGTTTAGAGTGAGAGGATACACAGTACAGAGAGAAAGTGGTGGTGTCAACAGGGGCCTGAAGTAATTGTAAATCCCCCAAAGATTTTCCCCAAAAAATAAATGTTTTAATAACTCTTATCCTAATTTGTACAACACATTTACTTGTAAAAAGGGCCACAGTTGCTGTTCATCTGGTGTGGATGTGAACATCCATAGGCTCTTTCACCTCATAGTTGTTGTTTAGGTTCAGGAGTACAGAGACAACACAACAAAAAACATGTCTGAGTGAATACTTATGTACATGCTGCAGTGCGATTGATGGCAGAAACAATTTTTTACCACAAGATGGCAGTATGTGCTCACCAATTTGCAGAGTGAAGTCTTGTCTGAAAGGTTTTGTGTATGGCAGAATAACTAAAAACCCACAATTGATGTGGAGGTCTTTTTGGTCTTTATAGAAAAGAAATGCACTACCAGGAATTATAATTATAGACAAAATAATTAAATGGCAGTATTCTTAAATTTCTCATGGCGAAATGAAATCATGGTCAAAGCAGTTCATATGGCTTTTATTCTGAGCTATCTATTGTGAAATGTAACCTGCCTCACATGAATTATTTTAAAGTGTCATTCGACTCCACTCTTTAAGCTACAGACGGTTACAAAGTTAGGATAAACAAAAGGGCTGGCACTCATTGGCGTCCATCCACTGCCTCCTGCCTGCCTAACTGAAACAACAACCCTAGTTTCTAGTTCCCATGGTAGTCCTGAACAATTAGTTCACTGTAAATAACATTTTCTGTAGATTATCATTAGTTATGCCAGGTTAGGGATTACTTGCCACTAGTTTTCTGTAGCACTATGGAGGTCATTGATGGAAAACATTAAGAGGAGTGTGAGGAGGAGGGCTGGCGCTGGTCCATGTGAGTTTTCTTACAGCACTATGTACTGAGAGTTTGCCAGACCAAAGATGCTAATTATAGAAAGTCTATAGCTCATTTGTTTTTCTTCAAGACAATTGCTGTTATTGTATACCCTCCACTGCATATTATATCCGACCACATAATTCCATGTGTATATCACAGCAATATGTATCCCACCAGAAAAAATGGCTACATCATTTCCTTTAATTTGGTTGATGGGCTGGTGACACGCACATTACTTTGAAAAGATTATATATTATTATTATAATAAATTTTTTCAAGAATATTTTCGGTATCCAAAAGTCAATGTAACCACCAGCTATTGTTTATACATTCAGGGCTTTACATAAGATGTATAATCTCCACCTTGGTTTTCAGGCAAGTTAAAACTGACTGATAAACATAAACATTGAGATACACTGATCCTAAAGAAAACCTTTTCTTTCCCTAGGGCTCATAGAGGGAGACTCCCTGGCGGGGTGTGCAGACCAGAAGGAGCCGCAGATGTGGGGACATGGGGGGACCCCAGAGCAGCCAGACAGCACAGACTGGAGGCCAAAGCAGAGCCAAGAGGCTGGAGAGACAAACCACCAGCGTGTGGAGGGGCAGGGTGGTGGGGGTGTGGTGGGTGAGGATAAGAACAGAGGAATCGAGACAGCTGAGGAGCCAGGACAGCCGGGCAAGGCCGATTCTAACTGCAGATACACGTATTTACAGGACGTGACAAAGCCAGAGGTGAGACTGAATGCATTTATTCATGGCTCACAACTGAGCCATTCTAAGCCCCGCCCCTTTGTGCTCTGTGCTCCAATAACAGTTGTATTGTATTTTGAGGTAATGTTAGCAAAACGTAAACTTACTCGGTAACTAACCAACGACTTATGTAAATTAGCTAACTAGTTAGCTAGCGTTTTCCTAACATTGACTTTCAGATGTAACTAGCTAGCTAACAATCGATTTAGATTGGCTAGCTAATTAGCTAGCGTTTTTCTAACATTAGCTAACTTAAGGTTTATCTTCTAACTGTCGTCAAAATGTGACTGCTTTTTCAACATAGATTAGCCTAGCACATAGTATATCTCAGTACAGGACAGGAGAAAGTTGAGGTTCTGACTAAGACTTGCTCAACTGTTATTGGAGAATAGAGCGAAGAGGGGTGGGACTTAGGAATTAGGTCAACTCTTGCGGTTTTAGTGATTACATTCCACAGTGGTACATTTAAAAGCCTCCCTCCAGTCAGAATCAGTCTTCTTGTTCCTACAGTGTGGTGTCTGATCTTCACTGTGCAGAATGCTGTATGTGCAGAGTTTGACACTAGAAGGATGTTTTCAAATTCATCTGCTGAAAGAGGAAAGTTTCTCTCTGCTTTTTGAAAACCTGCCTAGCAGCATGATTTGTGGCATTGCAGTCATGAAGTCAGTCCTGGTCCAGTATGCAACTTGTGCAGTGTGATGTAGAACCATGAAGAAGACACCAGCGCAAATCCGCTGAGAATGGACTTTACAGTGAAGTAGGACAGTGGCTTTCAACCTGGGGTATGGGGACTTACAGGGGTCCTTGAGTGGGTTGTAGGGTCCCCAACAAAAGGAGAAATAGAATATTTTTTATCTTTTTTGGAAGTTGAGGCAGAAGGAGTAGCCTTCTTTTTAAGAATTTGAATGTGGAAAAGACATATCAAACACACAGTATTGTCTATGGTAGACAGTACTGTGGTATAAATATTTTCAGAGGGTGTCTTTAAAAAGTTCACAGACAAATGACTGTACAGCTCAGACACAACAAGTAAACAGATCAAAATTAAATATGAGATACTTAATATCAGTAACTTTGATCTATCTGACCAACTCCCTTCACAAATATATCTACACTTACACATAAACCCCCTCTCAAACTAAACACATGCAACAGAGGAATGTCACACAAGTGTCACAAAACAGGCTCAAAATGTACAAGATTCTTTCCAATTCAGCATATTTTCTAAATACCTTTTATTGTTTTAATTATTCTTAAACTCTAAATCTTTCCACAAATCCCCCACCAGCAGATATATTCAGACTATCTTGATCTGGGGATCATGTGGAAGCAGGTTGGAGGCATAATGGCTTGTTGCGTCACCGAATTGTTTTTCATTTCTTAAAGACATTTACCAGGAAAATAGAGATACCCGAGCCAGATTGTAGCACAACAAATAAAAATAAAACGCCCGAGATGTGTCGAACAGAAAAAACAAGATTTACACAACATAACAAATATGCTAAACAAAAATGTATATTACAGAGCCACACACGGTGGTAAATCAGATATAAATTACGAGGCTTTGTGAGGCTTTTGCCAAAGTTTAAAACATCAGCAATCCATTATAACACTGCCAGAAGTAGGCAGCTGACAGCAGTTACATTGGCATAATTCTGTTTTATGGCAGAATCTCTTCCATATGATTTCGAACTTCAAGGTGCATAATGAATAGCTGAAGGGCAGTGCTTGGAACAGCTGAATGCTCCACCAATCTAACATCCCCCTATGATGATTTTATCATAATTCACAACTCACTGGACACAAGAAGCTGGTATGCCAGCAATGCAGGAAGCTAATGGGGAGGTTCAATGGAGGGAGGACAATGACTGTACTATTATGGTGGTCATGTTCCTTCTCATTTCTTCTTTCATTAACAGGGAGAAGACAGAAAGGCCAAGGCAGATTCCTTTAAAAACTCTTGGCTATCGGAGCAGCATCTACAGCATCTTCCCCAGTCACACTCTGGAATGTCTGAGTACCCTCAACAGAGCGCTCAGCAAGCTCCGAGCACGTCAAATAACCTTCATCTACCTGCCAGCAGAGAGACTAGCCTTTTCGATTCTCCACAGCCCCCGATGGAAATGAACAACTTCTATTTCTCACAACGGCACTGGGAAAGCAGCATCCATAACCAACGAACACAGATCTTATTTGAGTCAAGTCAACATGTCAAAGCACAGGGCCAATTAACAGAAACACAAAATGCTTTTTCACGAACTGAGTCTGGCCCTCAACAGACATTTTCACACCAGGACCAAAAACAGGAAGGAAATCAAGGAAATCCAGCAGGCCACGACATCCCAGCAGTAACCTGTACGTTAGGCAATCACAAAAGCCTCTTGCCTGATGTCAAAACACTGTCCTCCACACACCTCGGCCAAGTTTCTTACTCTGTTCAAGTGAGTGGAGCTGCTCCTGGATTGGCAGGGGACACCCAAGCCTCAAACATGCTGGATAACAATACTCTACTGCCATTAAAGCCTTTTACATACCCCGAACATGCTGATTACCCAGACACCAAGGATAAGGCTCCAAATGACTACACGGGTCAGAGCAGTAACTCTGGAAGACCTGACATTACCAACAAATACCAGTCTTTTTTGTTTGCTGGCCAGCTTCAGGGCTACCAGCCGTCAGAGTGTCTGAGCGGTGGAGTGAGGGCTGTGCAGAGCTGCCAGGACTACACAGAAGACACCAGCAGTAGTGACGATGAAGGGAAACTCATCATCGAGCTTTAGGCGAACACACACATACATATTAAATCTTGCTGTAGATATCTTTTTTTCAGAAATAGGCAGAAATATAATAATAATAGAGTTAAGTTAGTGGGCAGAGCCAAACAGCCACATGTAGTTAGCCCTCATGATTTCTTTGGTTTTAATTACAAATGATACATTAAAGGTCCAGTGTGTAACATTTGGGACAATGTATTGGCAGGAATGGAATATAATATTCATAGGTATGTTATGTGTATAGTCACCTGAAAATAAGGATAATTGTTTGTGTTTGTGTTATCTAAGAATGAGCTGTTTTTAATCAAACAGAAGTGTGTCATGGGCTGCATTCTTTCTTATGGCAGCTGCTCAGTGGCGTATGAAGCCAGGAAAGTTTGATTTGCTGGTATAAAATTACCGGATCTTCAGCAAGCGCAATAGAAACTTTCTCTGGCCAAGGACTGCTAACTTCCGGTTTAGCCCTCGAGCTAACTCGAACGGAGATAAAATGATTTAATCGGGTGGCTCTTCTGGACTTTACAAATATTGTCGAACCAAATGGATGAAATTCTGATAAAATGAACAAATTGCATCCACTGTTTTAAAGCCGATTCTCTCACAATTTAAGCGTATAAAATTGGCTTCAAAGCCCGGTGCTCTTCCTGGGGAACTGGGAGTGAGTCCTCTTGTACGGAGGTCGCCATGTTGAACTGCCATATTTCTACAGTAGCCTGGAATGGGCAAACCAAACGCCTTTTGCATTTTTCATGAGTTTCGCTGCCACTATAGCTTCTCCTACACACTTGGAACGGGAAGGTGATGTATGGGGGTTGTAATCAGCAACTACACCACTTGATGCCACTAAATCTTACACGCTGGTCCTTTGTTCTTTATTCCTTAAATTGGATCCAATTTATTGGATATCATTGTGAGTATCAATAAAACAGAATAGAAAGTAAGCTAAATATAAAACTTTAGTGAAAATATTCTACATATGAAAGTAGCCTAAAATGTAAACAAAAACAGAACACACACAACACCAAAACAATAAATATACCGTGAGCACCAAAAAGGTTACAAAGCAGCAAAAGCAAAATAATAATGAATAATAATGGATAATGAAAAGCGGCCAAGTAGAAAAACTGCTCACGTCAGCCTCCTGGTTGTAATTCCAAGTCTGACTGTTGAATTTGAGCAACGATATCTCCCACATGAAAAGAACCACAGAAATCAATGAACCAGGCAGTCACAAAACAGCTGCAAAACCACTACTGCTGGCAGCTACATCCAAATAAAATCCAGCAAGACAAATGCCGTCAATGACCATCATTAAAAAGCAGCAATACACTGCTTGTATCTGGTTTCACTTGATAACAAACAACGGTAATATAACTTGTGTTTACCTGGTGTGTCTACAAAGCGGAAACACTCCCAAGTGGAAATAACTGGAGGTTTTCCCATCACTCCTATTGTGCTGACATGGTGTGAATGCACTATGACACATGCAGGGACTTGCCTGCAATGACCACAATTCCCTGGCTTCATTGAAACTCTAAATATGGTAGAAGAATGGAACAAAAATGGTACATTTACTTTCATTTTTGACCATGTCAGTCTACATTGAGTGCCAGCAGGTTAGCTCAGGGAGTTTGTTTTAGTATGCTAGCTTAGTTAATAAGCTAAAGAAAGTAAAGTCTGTGTTCGCTTTAACTGAATGAAGGCCCCCAACTCACAACCTGATAATACCTGAAAATGAACTGTTACCATTTAGGAATTACTGGAACAGCATGGGTATTTTTTGTGTTAGCAGCTAACATATTAGCTCCCTCATGTCTTATTTTGCGTGGTGTGATGAGTGTCGACAGACACGTTGTGGCCCTTTCTGCTATTTAACCCAACCAGTTACATTAGTTCTGCCCCAAAGAAATGTTGGACTTCCGTTCTGCTCACACACGCTTACACACACATAGGTTACCACAGTTTGTGTCTACCTTCCCACACCCACTCTCTCCCCATTCTCTCTCACAAACTGCAGTCTGTATCCCTCTGCAACCTTCACAGACAACACCTGTGGGTGTGAATCATGTACACATGCTGCCAAATATCCATTGAGTTGATCTCTGCTGTCAATCAGATCACCCAGGTGAAGCAGGCATTGGCTGGAGGGGCATGACCCTGTTCCAAGTCTGGGTTGTGTGATGAGTCAGCAGTTATGAAAAAGCACAGGAGCCCACAAGAACAGGAAATGGGTGCATGTGAAAATTTTTGTACATAAATCCTCAATTACAGCTCACGCTGACTTGGAACTCTCAGCCTATTAGTGGTCATAAAACATTTTAATGCATCTGTTCAGGCTTGTTTGGGTTTACATACTGTTTGACACAGAGGGAGGGCAAGGGCACAAAATGTTTTCTTTGTCAAGTTACAAACTGAATTATTATAATTATTGTGTTACACATATTATATTTGTTTTGTTTTCTAATTTTTATATTCTTGTTACTGATTACACATTAGTAAGCATAACTGACAAAACAAATTATGTCATCTCAGATTTATTGAACATTTTGTGTTTTCAACCGTTTGAACAAGAGGTAAATTAAACCATACTCAAAACCTTTTTCCTGGTCTGATTGTGTGAGTTTGTTCTTGGTGGTTTATAGATGCTGCAGTGAGTGGTCCTGAAGTAGATCAGGATCCTGCAACTGACAGACACTCAGCTCTAAAATAAACCTCCTATAAAGTCATGTAAGCAAACAGTAGTTTACACATCCAGCAGACACAACATTAGCATTTATTTGGAGTCCTGTGTGTGGCCAGCGGATGAAGTGGGATGAGGTTCTGGTCCAGGAGTGTTCCTCATTCATATAGTCAGTGTTCTAGAAACACAGGACTTACCAGCTATGTAAAGGTCATACAGATTTAAGGTTCTGTTCTGTTGATATTGTGCATGGCTCTGCTACACTAAATGAAACGGAACCTTAAATTAGTATAATTGGTAACGCCTGCATTTACCCTACTATTTCATGTCAAAATGGCTGCTGTGAAAAAGGTCTATTGGAAAATGTTTGGGCAGGGACTTTCAAAAAATACTTGGCAGGTGATTGGATTATTTGTCTATCACAGGAGACGTTCAAACAATCAGATCAACAAACCATTTAACACAGTCAAACTCTTACTGAAGCCAGTCGCGAGAAAAATGTAAACATCTTTTTTAACGAGAAAAGTCCTCAGTGCCATTATTTGTTCTTCTTTTAATAAAGAAATACTCTCCAGTTCTGATATAACTATGCTGGCAGCATCTACACTAGCCTCTTTAGCAGCTGGCAAAACAGTCACTTCTCACACACGTTTCACACAACAAGCGTTAAACCACAGCCATAGCTCATACTGTAGCTGCCAGTAGTTCCTCAGAGGACGCTGACTGGTCTGGTACCAGTGTGGTTTGATACAAGTGCACAGCCTGAAGCCTGGATTCTTATATGATTTTGTGATGTCCAGCTGCCCCGCAAAGTTAGCCATTAGTAGCACATGTAACAGAATTTTAAGCATCGTAATTGAATGTCTGTCAAAATGAACCTTCGTAGTTGTTGTTAAAATATTCCCTGAACACTGGACATAAAATACCTGTATCTGGAAAGATCCAATGGTATCCAAGCTTATGGAAATGTATCCATATCTGCACATCATATCATCTAACAACAAAGTAAAACTGTCAGACTTTCTGGAACAGGGCCACCTGAAATAGCTACCCCCCCCCCCCTTTGCAAAAATATATCCCCTGTCCTTTTAGCTGTTTTGGTCCCTTCCAACTTCCAAGAACATTTTATTTTTCGTTGTAAGTCTTTTTTTTACCAGTCAGTAGCTAACTTTGGTGCCGTTTGGTGCTGGATAGGTAGTGTATAGTCACTTTTGGGGTGCTTTTTTGTTGCTGAAAACAGCTGCCTGCTGCAGCGTTAGATGAGAGCAGAAAGACAAAAAATTACAGTAAATGTGTCATAAAACCAAAACAACAATCAAGAAAAGGTAAAAAAAACTTCATAGAGGGAGAGAGTTCAGTGACCCCTTTCACATCATTTAATGTATTATTAATGCATAGAGCATTATTAGTGCATTATAGTTAGTTTAAAGGGCCAAACAGCTGAACAATCAGAGTCAAGAAAGACAGTTGATGGTTGAGTCTTAGGGTATCAAATACAGACGCTTTGGGACTCTGGGAATGAGACTTAACCATCAACTATCTTCAAGCTTCCAACCCAAAGTGTTAGATTGTTATTTTTCTTGGCTCTGGTTGTTTTCGTTCAGGCCCGGTGAATCCTTGCAAATGCTATTAAGAGCTCTAGGAGGAGCCAGAAGAACTTTTCACAGATTACCTGTCTCATGTACTACTGTCAGGACACAGTGAAAATTTCAGCAAAATATGATTGAGAAGATAATTTTATAAAAGTTACCTACTGCAGCTTTAACTGGGACAGGCGTTTAATTCCTTTAGCACTAAACTCTTTTGAGATGGGAAACACAATCTAATTGTGCTGCTTTTGTTCAACAAATTTGACAATTAACACCTTGAATTTCAGGTCATACTTTTTTCTCTGTGGCACTGCCATGGCACTTGAAGGTGAACTTCGTTTTACAGCAGCCGAAGATTTACGGCACCCAGCATACAGACAGTGAGCAACGGACTTCGTACGACATTATTCACAACTTGCGTTAACTTTAATGAAACCCTTTGATGCTTTTGATCGGTCAACAATTATCATCTTAATGAGATTACCTGTTTAAACAAAGGACTATTGAAAAAATTAAAAAAAACATACCCCTGTTTTGGTCTCTGTCAACTCCTCCATCTGGCTCTTTGGCTGCCTAAAATGGAGCTATCGTGGCTCAGTAGCTAGAGCAGGTCCTCCATTCCCCAGCTCCACCTGAGCAAGACCTGCCCTGCCCACTGCTTCTAGTGTGCAGTATAGCAGTGGTTTCCTTTCTATCATTATGGATATTTCATATTAATCAAAACTGTGCAATGAACCCAAATGCTGAACTCAGTAACTGCAAGGAGTTTGTGTAAAACAAGTGATTGGGATGACTTTTCTATACATATTTCTGTCTGTATTATATATTTTTTATCATTTTATTTTAATTAGCTTCTTTTTTGTGACAGATTCAGTGTTTTCTTCTCTCTGACGCTTGGCCATTGTTTTGTATACTTTACATTAATACTTACTTCACAGAAGCAAATGGTAAATGGTCTGTACTCCTGTATATAGCGCCTTTCTAGTCTTTTGACCACTTAATGCACTGTAATCTACATCTCACACTCACCCCATTCACACACTGATGGCAGCGGCTGCCATGCAAGGTGCCAACTGCTCACCAGAATGGAAACTAATCATTCATACGCTCATACACTGTATGTACAGCATCAGGAGCAATTTGGGGTTCAGTGTCTTGCTCAAGGACACTTCGACATGCAGCGAGAGGAGCCGGGGATCGAACCCCCAACCTTCCAATTAGTGGAAGACCCGCTCTACCTCTGAACCACAGCTGGCCTAGAAGTAAGCTAAATACTATGATATAGGCCTCCTGTGCATTTCTTTCTAGTACACCTTAAAATCAAGAAGGCCTAACAATGACTCACCATGACACTTTGGCGGCCCCTAGTGGTGGTCGGGACTGCCAGGTGTTGAACCAGTGGAGTATAGGATGGGTCAGATGCTGTGTATGGTGGCTGTGTAACAAAAGAGAAGCCAAGACAACAAATCAGAAACCACAACCAAGATCAAACTCCATCAAAAGTCTAGCTGTCAGTCGGCTTCATGTGGAGAGGAAAGGATGTCTAATTTCTCTAAAAACACTCTTCCTCATTTCTTCTTTCATTGCATGGTTTAACTGAGTCACTGCATGTATCCTCACACAAGTGAGGGAAAGATGGATTCAAATAAAGAACCTCAGTCACAGGCCAGTCCTTCCTTGGACATATGGATGTCCAATCAGCCATGGTCTTTGTCGACAGTAAGTCCAACCTTTTCCGGTAGAAGTTAATGCATTAGAATGGGGTTTTCTGCTTCGTGGTTTCTCTTTTGTTAGTTTGATTTGCAATTTGTTGTTGTGTTTTGTGGTTTGTTGGGTCCTCCTATTTGCTGTTGTGATTTGCACTTCACAGTCAGCATATAGAAGGCTGTAGTCCTGATTCTATTCTATACTTTGGTGCTGGCAGTGGTTTTAAATTAAATTAAAGCTTTTTTTTTCTCCTTCTGCTAGATGAGAGCGGTTTGAATGAATCAAACCAGTAAAGTTGTGGGTGGAAAACTAAAACAGTGTGCTAAAACATGCTACCACACTTCATAGTAAAGTAATTCTAATCGTAACACTTTGCTTAGTTTAGGACTGTAGAGCCATAAAGGGAGAGGTTTGTTCAGCCAGGTGTACCTACGCATCTACACTCCCCACTCTGCAAGACTTCCTGTATACACTAGCAGGTTTAGAACCAGAAATAGGAATTATCCTCACCAAACCCATTCTCATTCCAGGATGCAGTCAAACGCTGCAAAAAGTGGAATCTTAAGAAAGTAAAAAAGCATTGTTTCTTGGAATTTTGTCTTATTTTTTGCTCCTGAACACTAAACTCTTCTGATGTCCTGTTTCAGTGTAACTTGTGGAAATAAACTCTAAAATCTGCAAACAACAAGGACTGGTGCTATGGCTCACTGTTACACTGGTACAGTGATTGATAAGAAAGTATATTACTGTAAGAAACTATGAGAGATGACTACTGCCTTTGACATAACACTGCTATTATTGAGTAGATTGAAAACAAAGGCTTAAATCCTTTGTAGTTAAGAATTAGAGTTAGATACTATAGGCCTATATTGAACTATAATGTATTACAGTCGTTTTCTCTTAAGCTTAGTGCTGCTTTGATAAGAAATTGTATGTTTTAGGGGATCTGGCAGAGATCCAGTTTGGAGCTTCATATCCTAGATGCACAAAGATGATGGAGATATCAGTGCTGCAGTGAACACTCCTACAGGGTTCTCTGATCCCTAGCGGGCAGCCAAGGAAACTCATCTGAATGACTCAGACCGCACAGGTGAACAACCAAATACAACAAGCTGTTGTTCCTCATTTCCTCTGTATATAATCACTGCAGTGTGTAGTGTATAGGGTGACACTTAAACTCAGTGACCTGATATGCAAGTTAGAGAGGTATGACTTTATCTGATATTGATTCTCTGGACACACACCTATTAACTACATTTTGAAGAAGAAACATGTTCACTGGTTCTCAAACTTTGGTATGTATATGTAACCGGTTAGTGTCTGGCGTTGTCTGCGTTGTGTTTTGATGAAGAGGCCCAGACCAGGATATCTTTGGAGGCGATCTCCGTTTATTCTGACAAAGGTGTAAATAACAACAATATCCTCCGGTCAACTGTTATCAACGTGAGCTCCTACACAAATTAAATGACAGAAACATGTGAGCGTTCTACACAATAAGTTTAAGCTAGCAGGTAAACTTATAAGTGTAGTTTAACAGAGGCTAAAACACGGAAATTTCTGTGACCACAGTGTCGCTCACCTCTCCCAAGGAGTACGACAGCAAAAGGGGAGAGGCAAAAGCGTGAGGCACATTTATAGGGGGGGGCCACGAAAGTGAACGTCGGGGGACAGAAAGAGTCTCAAACGTTCCACATATTGACTCAGGAGGCCGGACATGTCAGGTTATAACTATTAAAACAGATTTTGTGTAATTATAATACTACATATTACTGCTGTATAATTGACTCTGTTACATATATGCTGGTTGTACGTGAACTTCCTCCAGTGGTACACAGACACAGAGAAAAATTAAATAAATTAATTCAGATCCCAACAAACTAAATATGTTAGGTAGCCTAAATATTTTGGATAATGGTTTTTTTTAGCCTTTTCATGCCTTTATTGGATAGAGACAGCTGAAGATCAACAGGAAAGGTGGGTGGAGAGAGAGGGGACGACATGCAGCAAAGGACCACAGGTCAGATTCGAACCCGGGCCACTGCAGCAACTCCGTAAATGGGTCGCCAGCTCAACCGACTGAACTAACTGGGCACCAAAACATTTCTATTCTGCTCCGTAACTACGTAACATCTCTGAACTTTGCCCTCCCCACCTGTTAGGCCTTTAGCAAGGCAAGGACTTGAATGCAACTTTCCCACGCTTAGTAAATACAGCAGGCAAAAAAGGAAGCTAAAGTTTCACAGTTCATGTGGTGGATTGCGGTGGCTGGATTGTTGTGCAAACCAGAGCCAATCAAAATGTGGCACATTGTTACAACATGTGGGACGACAAACAAAAGATAACAATGCTGTGCTGTGGGACACCTGATCACATGATAAAATGTAAAAGCTCGAAGAGGCACAGCAACATCTTCATTGATTATTTTAATAATCTGACACATTGACAGATCAGTCAGGATCAATTTTATTTTATAGTTCTGGGTTCTTCTACACATTCAAAAAAGGTCACACACTCAGTCCAGGTTCATACAGAGAAACTAGAGTTAAAAAAAATAAATTAAAAAAAACTTTTTTTTTTTTTTTTCCTTTCCTTGTAAATTTTATATTTTTTTTTATTTTTGCTGCTTAAAAAGGATATTAACAATATTTGTTTGCTGCACTGACTTTACTGCACGCACAGAAAGATTTAAAATGACTGAAATTGAAAGCAATCTCTCTAATCATAAAAGTAAATTGCTAACACTCAATACGACCTTAATAAAACAATTGAACGTAATTTGGAATGAATCACTGCATTTGCAGGAATATTTTAAATATATACATTTTTTATTTGAGGTACACTTTAAAAGGACCAGTGTGTATTTAGTGGCATCTAGTGATGAAGTTGCCAATTGCAACTAACTGAACACACAAACTGTATTTGATGACCTTAGAATGAGAATAGGCTGTGAAACATGTAGGAGAAACTACGGTGGCTACGAAACACCAGTATTTGGTTTGTCCGTTCTGGGCTACTGTAGAAACATAGAGATTCAACAAGGCGATCCACAGATAAAACAGCTCGTTCTAAGGTAACGAAAACACAATGATTCCTATATTCAGGTCATTATACACTAATGAAAACATACCTATGAATATTATATTCCATTTGGCAGGTCATATCTTCCACTGCAGCTTTTCTTGTTGTTTTCTTTGGACCAGACTGACATCTTTAGGCAGCAATTGTCCTTTTGGGGGAAACAACCGCACTTTCACATAACGAGAGAAACGGGAAAATGCCGAAAATGCTGTTGTGTAACAGGTTGTAAAACAAATAAACATATGAGTCCAGATCCCATCCTTCCAGGAGAGGATCCCAAAATGAGAGCAGTCAGAATGTACGAGCCTCCAGAGAACAATCATTTTTTATTTTGGCTGCAGTATAAATTCCTTTTTGATGAGAATAAATGTGAATTAGCTTCTGTCTTTTAAATGATGCAGAATAAGAAACTACACCGAAACAACCATATTAATAACCAAAGCTTTCAGATAAGATACATGAATATTCACTGTCAGTGGGAAATAATGACGCTGCTGACAGTTACTACTGATGGATAGCTGGAGTGGAGATGGAGTGGGAGGCTGCTGGAGTGCAGTCATACAGTATAGCATCACCAGTAAACATGACTGTGGTCTCTTACTTAATCTCAGTCTGGTCCCTTTGGTCCCCTCCCTCAGCTCAGATCATCCAAGAGCCCTCTATAAATGACACCAATAATTACACCACATTGAAGAGAGTCAGTCACTTAAATGAAATAATATCTGCTGAAACTTTCATTATATCCTGACAGTAGTACATGAGACAGATCATCAGGTTCCTCTGGCTCATTTTAGCGCCTTTAATGGCATTTGCAAGAATCCACTGCACCCGAACTCAAACAACCAATCAGACTCAAGAAAGATAGAAAGACACTTTGGGTTAGTGGCTTGAAGATATTAGCAAATGGAATGAGTGCAAATTTCCCCCTAGGCCACTATTTGGCACAGTACTATAGGCCTATAGTACTATAGGCACAGTGAGGTGTCAGGGGGGGCGCGACAGGCAGGGGGGACTGACGGAGGAGGAGAGATGGAGAAGTTTCTGACAGGAGTAAAAAGAAAAATGGAGGAGGCGTCAGAGGCAAGAACAGCAAGTGACGGTAACCGGCATAAACCTAATAAGAGGAAATATGACGAAGCCTACATAGCCCTGGGTTTACCGTGAATACGGTCGGAAATGAGGAAAGACCTGTGTGTGTTTTATGTTTAAAAACTCTGACAGTGGACAGCATGAAACCAAACAAATTAAGACGGCACCTGGAGACCTTACACCCAAGTTATGTCAATAAGCCACTGGACTTTTTCATCGGATACTCGATGAGTATCGCCAACAGGCCGGTCATTTAGTGAGCGCGGCATCAGTAAATAAAAACGCACCGTTAGCCTCGTACAAACACCACCACATCACAAGGTGCAAAAAACCATCACACAATTGCAGAGGAGCTAATATACTCCGGCAGCATTGAACATGGTCACAATCATAGGTGAGAAAAGTGCTGAGACACTGAATACTGTCCCTCTGTCTAATGACATGATCGGGAGACATATATCTGTTTGTTTGTTTGTGTGTGCGCGCGCGCTGTCTGCTGTGTTCAGACTGTTAAATAAAAAAGATTGTTTATATCTTACTACTTGTATTTTTGGATGAAAACTGTATTATATTGAACTATACAGTATCTTAATGCATTCCGTCGAGTCAAATATCCTATATGGCTTTAATAGAAAAATGTATTTGAAGCATCGTGACGCATTGTGATGCATCGAGGAATCGAATCGCTGACATGATAATCGTAATCGAATCGGGAGATCAGTGACAATTCACACCTCTACTTTACATGCCTACATTTGTAGTCTAACCACCTCACTTGGTGTTTTTAAGTTATTTTTTCTTGTTCAGTGAGAGAAATCTAGTCTCTGCTGGGCTTTAACGAGTGCATCGAAGTCAGGTTGAATGTCTGAGGTGGAGATGCGAAGCACAGCTGACAGATGATCATCAGTGAGAGAGGATCTATACCTGGATTTTGTAAACTTCATCATTGAAAATGTTTGTTCACATATGTAGGTGTGAGCCGTGCTAAGGGTGGATAAATTAAAACACAAGTGCCGACAACGCCACCTAGGTTTAACTGAGGCCTAGGACCTCTTAGGATCACCAAATTAAAGTTAGGGTAAACAGGTTCTTTTATGTCGGGGAGAGCAGTAAACAGTGTTATTTTTAAAACAATGAGTACAGCCAGTGGAACACAGTTGAACACAATTTATTTTAAAATAAGTAAAAACAACTAAAAGCTCTACCTTCAAATAAACTAAACAAAGAACACAAACAACTAAAACCCAGCTAAAATAATGTGGCACGGATGGAGTGGGAGGTCAACAACGGCAGTCGCGGGTCTCTGGTGGCGACCACCTGCTCTTCACCTGGCTCCGCTCTTCGGCAGCCTGTCGAGGGAAACTCAGGGCCAGTCAATGTCCTTTAACAAGGCACAACTTTATATATTACACACTACACAAACACCGGTCTGAAACGGGACTTACGCGGGAGGGAGAAGTTTTACCTTCTCCCAATTATAGCCGCTAACGGTCGGTGTTTGCTCCGGTGTCTCTTCAGACCTCTTCCAGTGCGATGATCTGCTCTGTCTCTCTGTCGGCTTCCTGCTGTCCGGCCCGTTGTGACCTCCGTGTCCTCCCTCGTGCCCTCTGTGTCCTCCCTCGTGCCCCCCGGGTATCTTCCATAGTGTCCTTTTTATCCAAGAACAGTCACTCCCCTCTCTGGGTGCCAGGTGTAAGTCCTTATGCTTGATTAAGGTATGTCTCCGGTGGGGAAGTAAAACCAACGTAACACAAACACACTTCAAAATAAAAGCATGCAATAATAAATAAGACAAAAACACAGCAAATTCAAAGTAAAAGCATGCTTAAATAAAATCAAACTTCCCCCCGTGACATCTCCCCACACTTTAAAGTTAGCAGTCCCTGCAACATGTTATGAGTCTCTATAACGGACTGGAGTTTGTCCAAAGTTTACCCTGGTGGAGCATCGTAGGGCACCCTCAGGTTCCACATTCACAGGCGGTATGGCTACCGGTGCTGGAAGGAACCCGTAGATCATGGGCTGGATGGGTCCCTGCATCTGGACAACCGGCTCAGTGGTTGGTAGCGGGACTTCGGTTGGGGGTACTGTACACACCTTAAGTGAGTTCCTATGGATATTTTGTATTCTGCCACCCTTCTCTGGCTGAATCTTGTACACAACCCCTGTATCCCCCACCTGCTCCAACACCACCCATGGCTCTGGTTCCCACCAAGTACACAACTTTCCTGCCCCTCGTCTGTTCCTATCTCGCACCCACACCCTTTCCCCCGGTAAAAGTGGTAACGCTTTGGCCCTCTTGTCATAGTGCTGCTTGTTCTGGGTGGCTGCACTCTCTATTCTTTGTTTAGCCAGGCTATAAGCTAAGGACAGTTTCTGCTGGTGGTCTTGTACCCACCCACCTACATCGTGCCTCATCTGTTGGGGACCTACACCTAATCCTACATCAACAGGAAGTCGCAGGTGTCGCCCAAACATGAGGAAGGAAGGGGTATACCCAGTCGCACTGTGTGTGGTGTTATTATAGGCGTGTGTCAGTTCGGGCAGATAGTCGGGCCAGTGAGATTGCTTAGACGTCTCTAAAGAGCGGAGCATATTTAACAAGGTCTGATTAAAACGCTCTGCACTGCCATTTCCTGCGGGATGGTAGGGAGTTGTGCGGCTTTTAGTTATACCATAGGTATCACAAAATTGTTTCATAAGTGCAGATTCGAAATTAGGTCCCTGGTCAGAATGGAAACGGGCGGGGCAACCAAATGGTTGGATCACATGGGTCCACAGGGCCTTTACTGTAGTCTGAGCTGTTTGATCTCGAGTGGGAATAGCCCAAGAAAAACGGGTAAACAGATCAGTAGCAACAAGAATGTTCTGGTAGGTGTCTGTGGGCCGACCTAAGGACAAAAAGTCCAACCCCACCACTTCTAAGGGGTAGGATACTGTGAATGGATTTAGGGGGCCTTAGGCTCCACCCTGTCTCGCTGCAGGTTACAGGCAACACAACCCTGCTGCAACTGACGTACCTCCCTCTCCATATCAGGCCAATAGAACCGCTGACGGATCCGGTTTAGGGTTCTCTCCACACCAGCATGGGCAGCGGCTTCATGGATCCTCTTCCAAACTTCTTGGCTCCTAGATTCTGGACACACAATCTGGAAACACACTTCGTGTGTGTGCGGGTCAATCATTTTACGACACAGTATTTTGCTTTTAACCTGAAGTTTTCGCTTTTGTTGCAACAGTCTCTGGGCTCTAAGGGACAATGTCAGGCGCTCTGGTCTCGTCGGTATCATTTGGGTTTCCACATACCTCTTAATGATTTGAAGGTCCGCATCACCAGCTTGTGCCTCCTCCCACTCTCTGCCTGTCCACTCCTCTTCACCTCCCTCAGGGGTCAGTTCAATGGCTGCCGTGACTGGAACGGTTTCCAGCTCAAGGTTTTCACATGAGGCATCTGCAGTCAGTGGGTTAATTGGGAACCGAGACAGGGCATCTGCATTTACATTACTTTTACCTGAGCGGTACTTGATGTCATAATCGAAGGAGGCAAGCTGTGCGACCCAGCGCTGTTCCACGGCACCCAGGCGAGCTGTCTGTAAGTGGGCCACAGGGTTATTGTCAGTGTACACCGTGAATCGGGCTCCAGTCAGATAGTCTTTAAATTTCTCGGTTACTGCCCACTTAAGAGCCAGGAGCTCTAGTTTGAAAGAGCTATAATTTGCATCATTCTGCTCTGTTGGGTGTAGGCTGCGACTGGCATAGGCTATCACTCGTTCTCGCCCTTGTTGGACCTGGGCCAAGACTGCTCCCAAACCATGATTACTGGCATCTGTGTAAACGAGGAATGGCAGGGAGTAATCAGCATATGCCAAAACAGGTGTTTGTGTTAAAGCTGCTTTCAGGTGATCAAAGGATGTCTGGCACTCTGAGGACCACTGTACCTTTCGGATTTGCGACTTTTTATCAGCAGGGATGCCTGTCAGCAGTTGGTTGAGGGGGCGTGCAATCTTTGCAAAGCCAGAAACGAAGCATCTGTAATAGCCAGCTAAGCCAAGGAAGGCTCGTACCTGTCTTACAGTGGTGGGGATGGGCCAGTCTTTTACGGCTGAGATTTTGTCTGGATCAGGACTCACCCCTTTTGGTCCACCACATGGCCCAGGAATTTCACTTCCTTCTGCAGGAGTTTGCACTTATCCAGGCGCAGTTTCAAGCCATGCCGCCACAGTTTGTTAAACACCTCATCTAGCTGCTGTAGATGGGAGGAAAAGTCAGGTGAATAAATGATAATGTCATCCAAATAAACCAGTAAGGATTCTGACAATTGGCCATTTAAACATTGTTGCATCAGACGTTGGAAGGTAGCTGGCGCATTGCACAGGCCGAAGGGCATACGCTCAAATTCATACAGCCCCAGCGGTGTGGTGAAGGCGGTCTTCTCCTGGTCTTGGGTGTCCATCTCAACTTGCCAATAGCCACTGGCTAAGTCAAGAGTAGAAAACCATTCTGCTCTGGTCAGACTGGTCAAGGTTTCTTCAATCCTGGGCAGGGGAAATGCATCTTTATGAGTTATTGCATTTAACTTCCTGTAATCCACACAGAATCTCCAACTGCCATCTTTTTTCTCACCAGTACTATGGGTGCCGCCCATGGGCTACAGCTCTCTTTAATGACACCTTGCTCCAGCATACCTGAGAGTAGGGATTTCATCTCTTTATACATGGCAGGGGGAAGAGGTCGATGTCGTTCTCGGATAGGTGGTGCATCACCAGTATGGATGCGATGTTGTACCAGGTCTGTACGTCCGAAGTCCTCATTGTGCTGTGCAAACACCTTCTGCCATTTCAGCAGCAGGGCGCGCAGCTCCTCCTGTTGCTGCTCAGACAGATCAGGCCTGTTGGAGAGTTCACTCACCCCTATCGGCAGCTTCTGGTCCTCCTCGTCAACTGCAGCATTTACCAGTGTCACTCCAACAACACAATCACCTTCAAGGGACAGGTTAAGGTCGCAGGCTCCATGTACATCCGCTTCATCCACCCGGGACAGTTTGCCAAGCTTCTGGTACCGATCTAGCATCAAACAGTAGGGGTGTGGGTTAAAAACTCTCACAGGGACTCTGCCATTTCTTATCACTGCTAGGGTCCTGGCCACCCTCACACTGCAAGTCTCAGGCAGCGCTTCAATTAGGGCACAGTAATCTTTTCCCCCCAGGCTCATCCGAGCCCGACCCCACACCAGTACTTCACTCTTTGGGGGAATTTTGATGACCCGTCGGCTGGCTGGCCGCACGTACCCCAACATCCCGTCCTCTGTCATGGTAGCCTCAATGTGTCTGCATGTAGCAAATGCATCCCTCCAAACCCGCTGTCTCTGTAACGTCTGTGGGGGGGGAACAGACCCTCTGGGACATTTAAAAAAAACAGTCCAACAAGCAGTAACAACATTCATTCCAATGATGAGTGGGTGTGTACAGTGTTCATCCTTCACAATCACAATTCCTCTTCCAGGTATCTTAGCACCCTCTAGCTCCAGATCTAATACGGCATAGCTCGTATAAGGGATCTCCAGGCCATTTGCGGCCTGTAACTTAAAAACTATAGGAGCCTTTCCAAGCTTAGCTTGGGTAAAATGTTGCTCAAAGAGGCTTTGCTGCATTAAGGTGACCTGGGACCCCGTGTCTAATAGCCCCGACAGTGTAACTCCTTCAATGTTTACGTCTATAGTTGGACACCTTCCAATAAATGCTTCAGTGGGCCCGTTTTCTTCTGTTGTACTTTCAACCCCTGCCCCTCGGACCTCAGCAGCAGGGAAAGCTAGTTTAAAGCCTGCCGAGCAGTAGTTGGCCTCCTACAAAATCTAGCTATGTGGCCGGCTTGTCTGCATTGGCGGCAAATGGGCCTACCTTGCTCATCCCAGGTGTTCGTCTGGGAAACTGATCGTTGTCGCTCCCTATAGGGCTGTATTAGGGGCTGTGGTGCAATAACAGCTGGTTGAAGGAGCGGTTTAATCTCTCGCAACAGTTCCTGGGTCAGTCCGGTCATCTGAGATTTCACGTCTTCCATGATCTCTCTTTTCAGGGTCTCTCTCCAGCTGGTGTCCTGTGATGGAGGAGGCACATTTGGTTTATACACAGAAGCACAGATTACCTCCGGTTGGGGGGTTCCCATGTTCTGTATCAAGCAGCAGCGCCTCCTGTCTGAGTGCAGAAAAAGTTTCATCAGGGTTACGGCGGGCATAGACCTTCAGGGCCTGAGCCAGGGAACTTTCACGCAGCCCCAACAGCAGCTGGTCTCGCAGGACTGTGTCAGGGGGAGTTCCATCAGGGTCATGTTGCCGCAACCTGCAATACAGCTCTCTTAGTCTTAGAATGAATGAGGGCACAGTCTCGTCTGGTCTTTGGACACAACTAAAAAACTGAGACCTTAACACTGGGGCGGGGGGTTCTGTCTCCATATAGAGAGTCCAAATACAGAAAGATTTTGCGTACTCTATCCCTTTCGTCATCCTCTAAAACACTGACCTGCCGTTTGGCTTCCCCAGCTAACGCACCCAACACAATGTCAATTTTTCTGGCCTCTGCTAGCTCTTGCGCTCCAAGTAAGCCCTGTATTTGCTCCTTCCAGTCATGATATTTCAGGTCACAATTTGGTCCTTTAAACTTTGGCAGCCAAGGGGCACCAGGATATACAGGCATCATCATATTCACTGTTTTAAAATACACCACACTGCTCTCTGTACCCGATCCTGCCGACAACGCCAAAATGTGAGCCGTGCTAAGGGTGGATAAATTAAAACACAAGTGCCGACAACGCCACCTAGGTTTAACTGAGGCCTAGGACCTCTTAGGATCACCAAATTAAAGTTAGGGTAAACAGGTTCTTTTATGTCGGGGGAGAGCAGTAAACAGTGTTATTTTTAAAACAATGAGTACAGCCAGTGGAACACAGTTGAACACAATTTATTTTAAAATAAGTAAAAACAACTAAAAGCTCTACCTTCAAATAAACTAAACAAAGAACACAAACAACTAAAACCCAGCTAAAATAATGTGGCACGGATGGAGTGGGAGGTCAACAACGGCAGTCGCGGGTCTCTGGTGGCGACCACCTGCTCTTCACCTGGCTCCGCTCTTCGGCAGCCTGTCGAGGGAAACTCAGGGCCAGTCAATGTCCTTTAACAAGGCACAACTTTATATATTACACACTACACAAACACCGGTCTGAAACGGGACTTACGCGGGAGGGAGAAGTTTTACCTTCTCCCAATTATAGCCGCTAACGGTCGGTGTTTGCTCCGGTGTCTCTTCAGACCTCTTCCAGTGCGATGATCTGCTCTGTCTCTCTGTCTGCTTCCTGCTGTCCGGCCCGTTGTGACCTCCGTGTCCTCCCTCGTGCCCTCTGTGTCCTCCCTCGTGCCCCCCGGGTATCTTCCATAGTGTCCTTTTTATCCAAGAACAGTCACTCCCCTCTCTGGGTGCCAGGTGTAAGTCCTTATGCTTGATTAAGGTATGTCTCCGGTGGGGAAGTAAAACCAACGTAACACAAACACACTTCAAAATAAAAGCATGCAATAATAAATAAGACAAAAACACAGCAAATTCAAAGTAAAAGCATGCTTAAATAAAATCAAACTTCCCCCCGTGACATAGGTAGCGCCAAAGAGAACCAACATCTTCTGAGCATGTCTCCTCATGTTCGGAAAGTTTTCCTTCTTAAGAGAAGAGTAGAAATCCAGCAGAGATCCTGACTTAAAGTGCTCTGCCAGTACTGCATCAGACTGCAGGTCAATGAGTTCCAGCTGAACATCACCGGGTGCATTATCCACACTGCAGGTAAAGGGAGAGGAAATCATGTGCATTTTATCCTCGATTGTTCTGAGATCTTCAAATCGCCTTGAAAACTCACCGTGCAATGCTCCTAACATGGATGAGTACCTGCGGAGGTGATCAGCTGATGGTGTGACTTCTTTCACGGTTTGCATGTGAGTGAGAGTGTTGCTCTCCAGTTGGCTTGAAAGAAACTGCATCTTTCTCATGAAAGCCTTCACCAGGCTGTGCATTTCATGAACAAAAAGGCCCTTGCCTTGCAGTTTGGTGTTCAGTTCATTGATCAGTGCAGTCACATCAACAGCAAATGCAAAATCTGCCATCCAGTCCTCATCTGAGAGCTCTGGGATGTCTTTGCCTTTCTTCTCAAAACCCTCGAATCTCTGCTTTCAGGTCCCAAACTCTTTTTAGCACTTTGCCCAGGCTGAGCCATCTGACAGCTGTGTGGTAGCCGATGTCACTTGGCTCAGTCTCATGCTCCTCCAAACGTGCAACAAACTGTCTGTGATTCAATGCCCGTGCCCTGATGAAGTTTACTGTTTTAGCAACAACATCAATAACATGGTTAATTTTTAGTGACTGACTTGCACAACACATGTTGGTGTATGATACAATGCAAAAATACCAATTTCTGATCTGCGTCGATTTCTGTCACTTTATCTTGCATACCTTTCAAAAGTCCGACATTTTCCCTGTAAGATTTGGACAATCGTCCATTGTGACACCTGCCAGTCTGTCCCATTTCGATCCCAGAGTGTCCATGCACGCATTTACCTCCGTAAACAGATCGCTCCCTGTCATCGTCCCTTCCATCGACCGCATGGCTGCCAGCTCCTCCGTAATCTTGAAGTCTGTTATCCCCCGGACAAATATGAGTAGCTGGGCTGTGTCGCGGACATCACAGCTCTCGTCCAAAGCCAAGGAGAAAAAGTCAAAACTTTCCACTTCACGTTGCAGCTGAAGCTCCAGATTCCCCGCAATGTGCTCGATCCTCCTCGTCACGGTTCGGTTAGCTAGCAAAGCTTCCGATGTTCGCGCCCTTTCAGCATCAGTCAAGTTTTTGTATTTCTCCGCTAATGCTGACTCAAATTGTAGTCCTTAAAGATGGCGATCTGCTCCCCGCAAACTAAACACACGGCTTTACCTCCGACTTCAGTAAACAAATACTTAGCAGTCCAGTTTTTGTTGAACGCCTGCATTCGACATCTACCTTTCTTTTTTTTAGCATGAGCGGACATTTGAGGGCTAAAGTCATCTGGTGACAACGATCCAATCACGCGCAGGTGTTGCTATACGTATCGCGTCATTATGTACGTGAATAAAAAACAACTTCAAAATAAAAGCAATGCAGCTTTAGTCCATGCATGAGGTAAAATGAGAAAATACGTTTATTTTGTCATTTCCAATTAAGCATCCGCTGGGTGCTGAAGCCATGTAATGCAAAAATATACAGTACTATCCAAGGTGGTAAAACATTTGCATATGGACAGATCGAGACAGTGTGCAGACGATTACAGAGTGGCCCTTTGACAGATTACAATAAAATAAAAAAGAAGAGGTATTTCTCCTTATAGATCATAAATAAGGTGAAACAATTTGGTAATAATTACTGGACACACAACTAGATCTGGGAATCAGGAAATCTCGTCATTCCAAAGTCACTAGCTGCAGAGTGACCCTGACACAGACTTCTCTCAAATACACGCAAATATGTTTATTTTGGACATGGCTATATGTCCTGATGTGATCATTCATCACCAACCTCATACAAGGCCCGGCAAGAGGCACTTAACTTTCCATATCCATATCCATATCCATATCTATAAGTAATTTCCCCACGGGATTATTATCTGATATGACTTCGTGCAAAAATTGAGAGCCAACTGTGGAAAAATATAAACTGTTTATTCAGTTATTCAGTCTATAGTATCTAATAAGTTGCAGTACTCCTCCAGTATGCTTCCATAGAGAGATCAATTTCTCGAGCTGTCCGATTCTGTCTGTCAGTCCCCCTGAGCTGGAAGCCTTTTTCTTAATGTACACTTTCACTCAATGAAAACACAGACATGTCAGTAACTTCTGCATCTGCTAAGCAGGTTTTCAGCACTTCTCAGCTCTACATGTGAGGTTATTTCAGCATTTGTCATAAAAAACTTGAACACACAAATTGAATTAAAACTGCACTGAGCATGGATTATGTGGGCTTCTATACCCCTACAGCACATGTGGTTCAGCTCATTTCTTACTGCTATTGTGTTACAGAAATATTTGCAGTTGAAAGGGGCACGTCATGTCTGAATTATACTACTAGGGCTCCCCAGGGGGAAAATGAGCTGTGGGGTCCTTTTGACCCCCCATTCCTTCACTCTCATTGTTTCCTGTACCCCATTCCTGTCCACATGTGTACTATAAATACAAACTGACAAGTTGATCGACTAGGAGCCTGTGGTCTTTGGGCCACCTGGAGCTGCTGCCCTCTTTGCCCATTTGATATACAGATTAGATAGTATGTACTGAAGATTCAGCTCAGAAATTGGAACCCTGACATTGTTTTTACATGGAACAGCATTTTTCAACATGAAAAAGAAAGTTGTTTTTTGTTTGTTCATGAAAAATATGTATTTGTGTCCTCCTACAAGAGATTTTCTCTGACTCACAAATGGGCAAAAAACTAATTTTATCTGGCTCATCTGCACTCTTTCATGGCTTCAGGTCCTTTTGCTTTCTTTTTGTCAGCTGCAGATGTGTCATACAATAAACTCCATTAAGCCAAGTGCAGCAGCTTGTGTTCACACTGACTCTCAAACTGATTTACAGCAGCCACTGTACCTTTGAACAGCATTTACTTTTCATGTGGCACATAAGGAAAGGAGTGAACTCCTGCTGACACTACATTACAGTAATAATAGTGTGTTAAAAGGTGATTTTAGTCTCAAGTTGGGGAACTGAGATAATTGCTTCGAAAACCTGACATTACTCAGACTGCTGTGTTTAAAGAATATATTAAAGCCTGTCTCTGAAGGATGGACATTGAGAAATATAACAACTACTGACAGCTATCTGATTTGCGGTGTTGGGTAGTAACTGATTAAATGTAATCAGGATTGAGTAATGAGTTTACCAAAAAATAGATAACTATAATATGCCCATTACATTTGAAAAACATGTGATTATTACAGTTACACTGTCAAGGATTACTTGATTTTTTATTACATCTTTAAAATATGGTGAAAATTTTATTCATGATAACCAGTGCGCTATTAAAGCTGCAGTAGGTCATTTTTATGAAAATAACTTTTTCTCATATTTTCTGAAACTGGGTCTGTGAAGTGAAGCCAAAGTGTCTTAAACCTGCATTCTATGTAATGGCAGCTCCATTGGCTGCAATATAAAATTCTACCATGCAGTCTTATGTAAAGGAGCTAATTTCTCACTTGATTTATGAGCTCAGTAAACAGTTTCCTAATGAGTTTATAGTCTCAATCTCTAGTTTCAGTCTTCTTCCATACAGCATGATGTTCATTTAGTAAATGATGGTCCCATTTACAGTAAAATAGACCATAAAGCAGGGTACGCTTTAGGGCGGGGCTAGCTTGTGATTGACACGTCATTGTCAGTGAGTCCATCCAGCCGACGCACCAAACTCAGATCAAACTGTCAAACTAGGCAGTGCTGATCAGATATATGGATCCAGATTCTGTCACTGTGTTGACTGTTTCTCTCCTAAAACCTTTTCAGAAACATATTTTAATGTACTGTTTATCTGGAATACGAGATCATTTGTAATCAGGAGAGCTGCCCTTGTTTCCTGCTACGGACGAGTCAAAACTGTGCAGCCAATGAGAGCAGCCACAAACTATCATAGCAATGGCCACAACACCATAAAACGGTAACAACAATGTAATTTGTATTCAGTAACTGACTACATTTCACAGTAATCTGACCCAGCAGTGCTGATTTGTAAGTGGGTAGCAGACCAGTGTGGGATTTGATCTGTGTGTGGGTGCTTATTTTTCCTCCCACTGTTTAAGACATTCAAGTTTCTGGAACTGGAAACTCCACATTGCCTGCAGGTGCCACATGTCACATGCCATGTGAAGTTATCACTATAGGCCTATATGTTACCCTGTGATAGACAACCTGCCCTGGGTCAAAGCTGCCTCTTGCTCAGTTTGTGGTATAGGTTCCAGTCCTCTGCGACCCTGAAAAGGAGTCAAGAGGTTTAGAAAATAAATGGATGGATGATTGAAAACTTAAACTCAATAAAAAAAATCACGTGGAATTGTGCTCTCAGATTTGATTCCCAGATAGCTTAATTAGTTTGGGCCGCTAGGCCATATATTGTGTTTTACTTAAGTATGGCTTACACTGAATATACTATGGCTGTAAAATAAGGGCCTCAACTGTGTTTAAGACAAAAGCAAACAGTATGTGTCCCAGTAGTCATAGTAGTGGGACTGGCTCTGGTTCATAAGATGCATGCTGAATGCAAAAATAAAAGGTTGAGCTTCCCTAACTTCTGTGTGGCTCACAAACAGCATGAATGGTGACCAAGTTTATAGTGGCATAATGTGAACTGAATCATATTTTACAGGATAATCTCTGAGCCACACCTTTCGCCCAGTGTCAGCTAGGATCGGCTCCTGTCCTGGTGCGACCCCCGAAGATTAGTGGGTATAGCTAATGCAGGGATGGATTGATAGTTCCCATAGCAGGTAAAACTATTAACATTAAAGCTGCAGTTAATCAAAAAATAAATGTTTTGTTTGGGGCAGCAGGAAGCTGCATTGACATGTTATCCACATTATCAGCTCATAAAG